ATAAATTAACCAGTTATATCGCACCAATACGTACGAATTTACCAGTAGTAGCCCATCAGTACTATAAATTAACCAGTTATATCGCACCAATACTTACGAATTTACCGGTAGTAGCCCATCAGTACTATACATTAACCAGTTATATCGCACCAATACGTACGAATTTACCGGTAGTAGCCCATCAGTACTATAAATTAACCAGTTATATCGCACCAATACGTACGAATTTACCGGTAGTAGCCCATCAGTACTATAAATTAACCAGTTATATCGCACCAATACGTACGAATTTACCGGTAGTAGCTCATCAGTACTATAAATTAACCAGTTATATCGCACCAATACGTACGAATTTACCAGTAGTAGCCCATCAGTACTATAAATTAACCAGTTATATCGCACCAATACTTACGAATTTACAAGTAATAGCCCATCAGTACTATAAATTAACCAGTTATATCGCACCAATACGTACGAATTTACCAGTAGTAGCCCATCAGTACTATAAATTAACCAGTTATATCGCACCAATACTTACGAATTTACCGGTAGTAGCCCATCAGTACTATAAATTAACCAGTTATATCGCACCAATACGTACGAATTTTACCGGTAGTAGCCCATCAGTACTATAAATTAACCAGTTATATCGCACCAATACTTACGAATTTACCGGTAGTAGCCCATCAGTTCTATAAATTAACCAGTTATATCGCACCAATACGTACGAATTTACCGGTAGTAGCCCATCAGTACTATAAATTAACCAGTTATATCGCACCAATACGTACAAATTTACCGGTAGTAGCCCATCAGTACTATAAATTAACCAGTTATATCGCACCAATACTTACGAATTTACCAGTAGTAGCTCATCAGTACTATAAATTAACCAGTTATAGCCCAACAGTACATACAAATTGACATTTGAATTTCTTACATAGATCAGCTGGGACACTTAAATTAAAAAGACACGCAAAAGATAATGAAGAAATATACCCATAAATTAATTGAAAATCATACTTTTGTGCTACTTTTAGCAAAACATTGCAAAGCGTTTCAGTTTTGGGTCATTTTTCACAGTTAGAATACATGTATTTCATTCTGGAACAACGGAGTGGGGAATAATCCTAAATTTTGCATACAAGTTATTGTCAAATGGATCATTAATCTAGAAAAAAATATTTCCAATCCCATCATGACAACAAATCTCAGTGGAATCCCTTTAAAGCGTATCAGTACTAACACAATTAAACAGTTATAGTCCACCAGTACTTACAAATAAACCAGTTATGGCCCACCAGTACTTACAAATCAACCAGTTTTAGTCCACCAGTACTTACAAATTAACCAGTTATAGTCCACAAGTTCTTACAAATTATTCAGTTATAGTCCACCAGTACTTACAAATTAACCAGTTATAGTCCACCAGTTCTTACAAATTAACCAGTTATAATCCACCAGTACTTACAAATTAACCAGTTATAGTCCACCAGTACTTACAAATTATTCAGTTATAGTCCACTAGTTTTTACAAATTAACCAGTTATAGGCCACCAGTACTTACAAATTAACCAGTTATAGTCCACCATTTATAGTCCACCAGTTCTTACAAATAAACCAGTTATAGTCCACCAGTTCTTACAAATTAACCAGCTATAGTCCACCAGTTCTTACAAATTAATCAGTTAAAACCCACCAGGACTTACAAACTTATCAGTTAAAACACACCAGTTCTTACAAATTAACCAGATAAAGCCCACCAGATCTTACAAATTAGCCAGTTAGAGGCCACCAGTACTTACAAATTAACCAGATAAAACCCACCAGTTCTTACATATTAGCCAGTTAAAGACCACCAGTTCTTTCAAATTAACCAGATAAAACCCACCAGTTCTTACAAATTAGCCAGTTATAGTCCACCAGTTCTTACAAATCTACCAGATAAAGCCCACCAGTTCTTACAAATTAGCCAATTATAGGCCACCAGTTCTTACAAATTAATGAGTTAAAACCCACCAGTTCTTACAAATTAACCAGATAAAGCCCACCAGTTCTTACAAATTAGCCAGTTATAGGCCACCAGTTCTTACAAATAAATAAGTTTAAAACCCACCAGTTCTTACATTTAACCAGATAAAGCCCACCAGTTCCTACAAATTAGCCAGTTATAGGCCACCAGTTCTTACAAATTAACCAGATAAAACCCACCAGTTCTTACCAATTAGCCAGTTATAGTCCACCAGTTCTTACAAATCTACCAGATAAAGCCCACCAGTTCTTACAAATTAGCCAATTATAGGCCACCAGTTCTTACAAATTAATGAGTTAAAACCCACCAGTTCTTACAAATTAACCAGATAAAGCCCACCAGTTCTTACAAATTAGCCAGTTATAGTCCACTAGTTCTTACAAATCTACCAGATAAAGCCCACCTTTTCTTACAAATTAGCCAGTTATAGGCCACCAGTTCTTACAAATTAATGAGTTAAAACCCACCAGTTCTTACAAATTAACCAGATAAAGCCCACCAGTTCTTACAAATTAGCCACTTATAGGCCACCAGGTCTTACAAATTAACCTGATAAAACCCACCAGTTCTTACAAATTAGCTAGTTATAGGCCACCAGTTCTTACAAGTTAATAAGTTTAAAACCCACCAGTTCTTACCAATTAGCCAGTTATAGTCCACCAGTTCTTACAAATCTACCAGATAGAGCCCACCAGTTCTTACAAATAAGCCAATTATAGGCCACCAGTTCTTACAAATTAATGAGTTAAAACCCACCAGTTCTTACAAATTAACCAGATAAAGCCCACCAGTTCTTACAAATTAGCCAGTTATAGGCCACCAGTTCTTACAAATTAACCTGATAAAACCCACCAGTTCTTACAAATAAGCCAGTTATAGGCAACCAGTTCTTACAAATAAATAAGTTTAAAACCCACCAGTTCTTACAATTAACCAGATAAAGCCCACCAGTTCCTACAAATTAGCCAGTTATAGGCCACCAGTTCCTACAAATTAACCAGATAAAACCCGCCAGTTCTTACCAATTAGCCAGTTATAGTCCACCAGTTCTTACAAATCTACCAGATAAAGCCCACCAGTTCTTACAAATTAGCCAATTATATACCACCAGTTCTTACAAATTAATGAGTTAAAACCCACCAGTTCTTACAAATTAACCAGATAAAGCCCACCAGTTCTTACAAATTAGCCAGTTATAGGCCACCAGTACTTACAAATTAACAAGTTAAAAAGCCCAGAAGTCCTGGAAAAGCTTGAACTAAGAAAATGCAAAAGAATCAACATCTGTTAATGAAACGTACATGTATCAGTGCCTATGTTAATGTAAAAAAGTGAAATAAAATTTGATATGGTGAAATATGGTGATTCTTTTTTTCCCAAATGACAAAATGCATATACATGTATTCATCAATATATATTTTTATAACTAATATTTAAATTTAAGGTAGAAACTAATAATAATAGTGGTAATTGTAACTGTAATGATGATGATGATGATGATGATGATGATGATGATGATGATGATGATGATGATGATGCACATTAATGTCCGAATATTTAGATCAAAACATAAATAATCTTAGCCGCCACTATAAAGCAAGAAAGAAAAAATAACAACAACAACATAAAAACAAGATAAAGAAACTCTTCTTTTATTATGTCAACCTTTCAATCAATTCGCGGTCTTCTGACCCATTAATAAGTCAATTTAACTTTTTTCACTTTTTTCATTTTGTTACGATCTATTTCAGTACCGTGAAGATTTTACACACTTTTTTTCAATTAAAATACCTTTTTATCAAATTTATTGCCTATCATATTTTCAGAAATTTCTTCTTTTCAAAGCTTCAAGTTCTCACGATAAAGATACTCTTAAGGGGACTCGCCTTCAAATGAGATAATATAAATAATTATTCAAAATCAAACTTTGAAAAAAAAACCTTCTTCTACGTTTTCCCTGATAAATTGAGTTGATTTCTATATTCAAACTTACAACTGGAATAAGAGAAATTTCTGCTTATTTTTAAAAGTTATTGGTTATTTCTAAGCTTAGGTAAAGGCACTTAATTGTAAAAATTGTCACCTATTTTATCGCTTAAAAATTTCCAGTAAAGTAAAGTAAAGTAAAGTAAAGTAAAGTAGAATAGAATAGAATAGAATAAAATAAAATAAAATAAAATAGAAAAGAATGAATGTATGAATGAACGAATGAATGAATGAATGAATGAATGAATGAATGAATGAATGAATGAATGAATGAATGAATGAATGAAATAAATAAATAAATAAATAAATAAATAAATAAATAAATAAATAAATAAATAGATAAATATATAAATATATAAATAAATAAATAAATAAATAGATAGATAAATAAGTAAATAAAAAAATGGAGGCGTGATGCTTTAATTTTAACCGTAAAACACTTTCAATTCCACACATACTGAAATATGACTTAAAGTGCTTTTTTAATAACCCATGAATGTACTGTTCTACTTGTTGCTAGTCCTTTTTTTCTCCAGCATGTTAGCCATAAATTATCAAGTTTTCGTTGAATAAAGATAAGGTCAAAAACTGGATAGGTATGACTACTCTTTATTCTTTTTTTTTCTTTTTTTTTGAAAAAAAAAAATCGGTTAAGACTATCACATTGCCTAATAACGCAATTCAATACGTCCGCGCTTTTCTTGTGCGATGATCATTCTATTAATTATCACATGAAAATAGAATACAACTGTCCTCTTTTGAAATATGAATATAAAAAAAAGAAGTAGGTTGATCTAGATGGTCACACTGACAATATGTTATAAAGAAGTCCCATTGTTAAATTAATAACGAGACAATTAAATAAAAATTAAAAATATATAACTTGTTAAAACCGGGACTAGAAAAAGAAAGTCAAAACTGAAATTAAAATGACATCGATCCATCCACGTGAGATACATTATCATACTGACGGCCTTTTACAATGAAACTTACAAATCGTGTGCGGATATATTTTTCCGGTTGGATCCTGCTGGCGAGCTTCTGCGTAGTTTTGAACTGCTTTAACATTGACTGGACAAAGACTAACAAGGTGCTCGGGGCAGTCATAGTCGCTGTACTTGGAATACTTCAAGGTTCTGTTCTTGAATTTCCACTTCAGACAGTGGCCACCTTTGCAATGGGAGGAAAAAGGCGGGAAAATAAACGTGCATCATGTGACCATCTTTCGCTTATTTTGAACTATAATTTGCTAGCGACGAGTAAAGATGATATCGAGGAGTGCATAGAAACAATGTATATGGCTTACAAAGGGAATATGAGTCCGAAGGTTTCAGCTGTTTTGGTAAGTGCTACAAATGACAAAGAACTGAAGGAATATGAACTAGAACTAAGAGATAAATACCGTAAAATAATACATGATGAGTTATATAGAGAGGGACTGGCCTTTTCCAACAGACGGTTTGATGATATTGACGACATGCATTTCAAAAATGTCTGGAAAGAATATTGCGACATTGACGGGAATGAATTTGAAGAATGTTATCTGGAAAGTTTGTGTGAAAGGTACTCTCAAGAATTTATGGTGGTCCATCGAGTGAGTCGTGTTTTAAAGAAATGCGGCCAATATCAGGACCTAATGCTTCTTTCAGAAGGAATTTCCAAAGCATTTACTTACTGTGACATTAGTTATTATGGAAAACAAGCGAGGACTTTTGGTGAAAATCTCTTCCACGATAGTGATGACGTCAGGAATATTAGAAACAGAAAGTTTGACTATACTTTGGTCCTGGACGGTGATACAGGAGTGTTGAGGGGAGTTGTGTTCAAGCTTCTTGAAATAGCTGCGGCACATCCTGACAAAGGAATAATACAACCGTCAATTAAGTTTAAATGCACGAAAGATGATACTCTATATATGCATTTAGAGGCCATGAGGCAATCCATTTATGAACCATTGACTAATGCTCTGACGGCTCTCTTCGGACAGTCTGGATTTTTTGGAAAAGCTTTGATAAACAATAAATTGTACATCGAACATGTTATTGGAAGCGAAGACAATTTAATCGAAAGAGTACCCGTTGATGTTCTTAGTCATGATACTTTCGAAGCTGCGCTCCTTAAGCCGTTATACGCCGGAAGTACGTACCTTTTGGAAGCACCAAGTCACAATTACGTCACATGGGGTATACGCGAAAGACGCTGGAATAGAGGCGAAATTATCCTTGCCACATATTTCTGGAAAAACGCTTTTGGCAAGCCAATGAGATGGCTTCAAAAATATTTTCAGAAATCAAAATTCAACAAGACTAAAGTCCGAACTGAATCGAAATTAGACTTTGTGACGTCATATATAGCACACTCCGCATTGAGACATATGTTGATGAAGCCTTTGTTATTACTGTACATTTGTATAAACGTGAGTGTTCATTTAAAACAACCTAACTTATCTATAATCATCGTCATGTTTAGCATTTTGATATTTCCGAAATTTGCGGTGTGTAATCGTGAGAATTATAAATCTGTGATTATTGAATCAGTAGCTTCCGTTTTACAATTCACACCGGAAGCGTTGGTTGGTAGCATCCGTCTTATACGGGCGCTTCATGCAAACGTTTCTCTAAATGCTAAATGGGTTCCACAGAGGGCAGTTGAAGAAGAGTTTCGAAATTCAAACCCATTTATCTCTGGTTTCAGGCATCTTTGGGGTTACTCACTGTTTTCTTTAGTGACAGGAGCTCTAGTTATTGCATTTTTCGAAGAGGCGCTTTTAGTTTTAGCCTTGCTGACAACTGTCTTACTCTTGCCGGTTTTTACGGGTGTAACATCAATGAAGTTGAAATCTTGTTTGACAAAGAAAAAGAAAACAAGTAAAAGTTCAATTGAAACAGTTTTGAAACCAAGCATTGGTTCAAAGAAGAATAGCTTGACTACTTTATATTCTAGTCAAACGTATCACAGTTTAGGGCAGTTATGGAATGGTTATGAGTATAAAGACACTTCATTTTTGATACCCTCTAGCAGGAGTAGCACTGATACACTCATAGACAACACGCATAATTTTGGAAAGAATAGGAAAAAGTACCCTTCTGTTTATTCATGGACTGCGAAGAAAAAACAACTGACGGAGAATCTTCCATCATGGAATTCGGAACACTTCTATAAACATCACATATTAGAACACAAAGGCCATGATGAAGGTAAAGGCAACAAAATACCAGATATTGGCATTAAAAGAAACCTAAATGGAAAATCACATTTTCACGAAAGTAGTTCCAATGAAACACGTATTGATATTGAAAAGTTATTTCAAAATCTGAATGTTTTACACCAGTTTAGGAACGGAAGGCATGACAGGTGATTTCAAATCAATCTTTTTGGAAAATTAAGAAAATACATTTATCTTAAAACTTATCTAAAAGATTTCAGCATATTTCGACCGGCTTCCGTTCCGTATTCATGCGTTGAAATATGCAAAAACTCCAAACTGTTGTGTTAATGTACATCCTTTTGAAAAACAGATAAGTTACGGAAAATGACGATATGTACGACTTTTCACGATTTATAGATGAAGTAACAATATGTTCAAACTACACTAAGAATCTTTTTTTATCAAAGTCAAGTGTATTGATGACTCTGGGATTGTTCGCAATGTAGCAATTAAAAAACCAACTGCCCCTGGTTGTTAATATGGAAATTATTGTATTTATGTAAGCTATATGTTTAGTCCATGCTAACGTTTCCATATTTAAAATAAAAAATCTGCCGAAAAATAAAAGAAAGAAAAGTGAAAGAAATTTTTTCTCTCTTCATTTTAAAGCCACGTACTTCTCCTGAAATGCTTTTATTTGATTCCTCAAAATCTTTGTGTCATTTTATAGTTTCCAAAACGTTATTGATTGGCTAATAATCTGAACCATACTTTGTTTTTTTACAATGAGGGAGGTTATAGTTATTTAGTATTTTGTATGTAAGTCAAAATACTACTTTGTTTACTCTACATTTTGTTCCGTTCATGACAATTACATTTTTACATTCAGCATTACTTTCTTTTTGTTGATAAAAAAACACGTTCTTAAAGATATACTATGCTCAAATTTGAAATTAGAAAATATTGATAATTTCTACATTGTCTCTTTGTAAATATAAAATAAACATGTTTTGACTTTACATAAAGTATATATTTTATGTTTAAATCTCTACACACTATGTGGTGGTCACAATATGATAAATGTTATTAAAAAGAACTAAAGAACTGAAGAACAGGTTTTTTCCCAGAAAATACCAACTTTTTTTGACCTGTAATAGGGAACGCAGTTTCCTGTACATAGTCTACCCATTTTTTAATTCATATTAGACACATGCAGAACGAATTTAATATATTTCAGAAAATTTCTGTGATAAAAATATTTTTCTCAAGGATGAGCATAGTATATATTTAAACGCTCTTTAAGCCGTGTTTGCTTTTTCTAAAGAATATAGAAATAACTAGTGTTCATGAAATACTCTGCCTTTAAAAAGTCTATTCACTATACAATATTTACTTTTTCAATTAAAGTTGTCTAAGGGGTGGCAACCATTGTTTCTAGTTATCAAATGAGCCGCGTCATGACAAAACCAACATAATGGGTTTGCGACCAGCATGTATCCAGACCAGCCTGTGCATCCGCGCAGTCTGATCAGGATACATGCTGTCCGCTTCCAAACTATATTACAAGTAGAGAAAATGATAGCAAACAGCATGGTTCCTGATCAGACTGCGCAGGTTGGTCTGGATCCATGCTGGTCGCAAACCCATTATGTTGATTTTGTCGTGACGCGGCTCAAATAATAAGTCATCATTTGAATAAAGTTGTTTCTGACAAATAACATCGTTTTAATTGAATTGAATTGAATTGTAATTTAGAATGTGCTAATAACGATCTAGTGGCTTAGGTGTCTGACTCTCAATTAATGGATAGTTGATTCAAACCTTTGCTCGGATCACGAGCGTGTTTCTTTTTATGACAGAAGCGGAAGTGGACATAAGTTGAAACAAATTGTTTCGTAATCGAGCATCAGTTGATCTGTTTAAACTAACTTACTCCAATAATTCGTTTACATTTTCTTTAGTCTAGACACAAATTCTGAACATTAACTCAATATTCCTCAACGTATGGGAAAAATTAAGTCAAGGAAAATTTCTTTTTTTTTTTTCATTGTGAATTTATAGGTTGTAAAAAAAGGTAATTGTTCATATTCAGTTGATAATCTCACACATCAAAGCATAAAATCTTGATGCGACTTTCTCTCATGAATAAAACGCAGCAACCTATCTTCTGAATCATCCTTGAAAATAAATACACACCCATTCAGACATATTTAGATAAAATAGATGACATAAATATGGGTAGAAAAAGCAAACTGCATTTACTCTATATACATGTAAATGTTATCAAAACCTAATTTAATAATCTCACAGTTACACCAGCAGTTGTCATAGTTGTGAGTAAGTAAATGAGTGAATGAATTATTGATTGATTGATTGATTGATTGATTGATTGATTGATTGAGCGAACGAACGAACGAATGAATGTTTTAAAATCACTCTGATTTCACTGCAAACGATGAGTACTCGTATAAAGACGTGAAGTAAGTGTGAGTTTAACGTGCCTAAAATGAGCCGCGTCACGACAAAACCAACATAATGGGTTTGCGACCAGCATGGATCCAGACCAGCCTGCGCATCCGCGCAGTCTGATCAGGATCCATGCTGTTCGCTAACTAACCCTATTACAAGTAGAGAAACTGATAGCGAACAACATGGATCCTGATCAGACTGCGAGGATGCGCAGACTGATCTGGATCCATGCTGGTCGCAAACGCATTACGTTGGTTTTGTCGTGACGCGGCTCAAATAATAATGTCTGCTGTCACTAGTAAACTTGATGTAACCGTTACGATATGACTAAACTCACACCAAACAATCATCTGAACCAACAACAAAATATCTTTTTTATTTATCTATTAATTATTTTTCTTAATTTTTTTTTAACTGAATTCACACAGCTTTATGATATCAACCAATCTTTTTTTTGTAAAATTAATAAGCACTGCAGAATTAAGATATTACAAAAATTAAACTTCTAATTGTTTTGCAAAATTACATGAAATTATTAACAAAGGTTGTTATTTTAAAAGGGAAATATATTGATTGTTTAGGCCACGTGACTTCATGAGACACCTTTGTCAAAAGATAGTATGAAGTATTTTTGGATACTATGTACTTCTTATTTATTCTACAGATAGATAAATGTATTTTTACTTGACCTCTATTTAATTTTATTTGGATATGTTCGTCGTTCTCCATTTACTTGAATACAGTCACTTGTTTACTAAATATGCCGCCATTATTCACTGCAATTTTTTTTAAATAATGCTGATAAAATGCTGTTTACTTGATGCAAACCTTTGATGGAAATAAAAGTTTGAAGTTTGAAGAAAGGAAAGATAGAAAAAAAATTGTTACAAATTATTTTCAAATTCAGATCACGGTTAAGTTAAACCCATTTATATTCACAACCTTAAAATTAAAATATATATCTATATATATATAATTGCGTGATCTTTAAAACGTCAGTCTATGTCTCATTCAATGCGTACTCTCCTGTGCATCGCTCACTTTTTTTAAAAAACTTGGGCTGCGAAGGGAGCGTATTCAAGGTGAAACCAAATCATTCATCATTCTAAGGGGAAACTTTAACACATGTTGTGATTGAATAGCGAACATCGTAGCACGTGCTAGTCGTAGCTTAATTTGAGTGAAAAGTGTTGCAACAATAATTTTTCATGATAAAAATAATTATTCTGGAAAAATAGATGATCTGAAATTTTGTACAAACATTATTGGTCAAGACGTACAGCAAATGGAACATAGATCTCGAACCCTTTATGTTAAAAAAAATCAGTGGAGTGTCTTTAACTTATAATGTTTCGGTTATGTTGGGTCCTTCCTTTGGATGACCTTTGTTCACCAGTTTGACTGTCGTTTAAATTATCTATCCTTATAGAAACTCAGCTTATGTCTAGTTATTTTTGGTTTTCTCCTGAAGACGGTGGTTTGAACTGGTTTCAAATTTACTTTAAACGAACGAAGTGGTGTTAAACTATTCTGCAATGAAGTCAATATATCTTTCAAACACATGTTCTTGGTTTTCGCTAGTTCAATAGGTTTCAAGACACTCTTGAGCTTAAGGGACTCCACTCAGGTCCAAAAGCTTAAAATATAAAATTAGAATCTCATATATAGATCAGCTTAGGCACGAAAACAGAAAGATGTGCAATTGTTTCGATAATTAAGAAATATACTCAGAAATAAATTAAAAATCGTAGTTTTGTGCTATTCTTATTACGATATGATTTAGAAAAAACCCTCACCACGAAAGTCACGCAGTAGTAGCAATATGGTGGTGAATACTGCAAAATCAATGATAAATCACATATGACATATGAATTATATATAACTTAAATATTAAATCTTTTTATTTTTCTTAAAATCTTAGTGCATTTGTACATTTTTTTTTTCAAATTTGGATTTTCTTGAAAAATTTTTGGCTCACCTATAGGCATGCAGCTTTAATCATATGACATTTACAATGTTTCCGTAACATAATCAGGAAGGCGATTTCAGAAACTATATAGATACATTTTCACTTCTTACTCATAGAACCATTGCCTTAGGGCTAAATATGTCTGTGTGAAGTCACCACGCCTTTTTAAGGTAAGAGGAAGTAACTGCTGTAGTTTATATTTAGATTTGTGCGTTTACAAAAATAAAATAATGTTTTTGTTTTTAAAAATTATATTTCAAAAATTATCTCTGGAAAATTAAAACGTTTTCTCCAAAGAAATTGCTTCTTTATACATGTCTTAGGAACTTTTTTCTCTGGTTTACTTAAATGCCAACGAACTACATTAATACGCGTATTAATAGTCTTGTTTAATTAATAGGCAAGTGAACAAGATAGCGTAAGAAGGTGATTTAATTCATCTTGTCTGATATATGTACATGTAAATAATTATGCCATTTAGAATTTTTCGTAATAATCTATACATCAAGAGATAAAGATGAATAAGGCTGTTTTGCGACTTTTTTTTATGTTATCTCAATCTACTTCAATATTTTTTTCATTCGTTTAGCTCTTTTCGTTCTTATCGCTCACTCGCTCGCTCGCTCGCTCGCTCTTTCTTTCTTTCTTTCTTTCTTTCTTTCTTTCTTTCTTTCTTTTTTCTTACTTTCTTTCTTTCTTTCTTTCTATCTTTCTTTCTTCTTTCCTTCTTTCTTCTTTCTTTCTTTCTTTCTTTCTTTCGTTCCTTCCTTCCCTCCATCTTTCCTTCCTTTTTGTAAACTGTTGTCTGTTTATCTCATAATCATATAGAATTGATATATTGGAATAAATAGAGGAAATATTTATTTAACAAAATTCATTAAAATCACGTTACGATAATATGTTTTGACCTTTTAAACTTTTAATAATGTCTTTCGAAAGATAATAATTCCATCATCTTCACAGTAAGTGGATTTTAAACGTTAACTGTTTAAGCTGTAAATAATGACGGGGGATTTTTTAATGAATATATAAGTAACACCTTCCTTATAAAAAGAATAATACTCATCAGTCAATATCACGCAGTATGTTGTAATGCTTAGCAGTAAAGTAGGGGTTTTTATCTTTAAAAAGCGTATCGTTTTTAATATCGTTTTTTATCATTGAAAAGGAGATGGTATACCCAGCAACTGACTGTAACATCTAATTTTCCCATGCTCCAGCGAATAATTTATGACTCTATTGAATATTTATTATCCAATTTACGTTATATACAGTTCCCGCCGGTGGAGCGTAAAGCGATATGTATATATGAGTAGAAACCCGAAATAACTTAAATATTATGTACCCGCTCCAAAACGTAAATCATTTCCCATTCTGAAACGTTGGATAAATTAGTACCCGCTCCGAAGAAAAAAGACTCTTTTTACTTTGTGATGTCGTTTGAAATTTGTAAATAATGGAATGTCATTATATTGTTAACACCAGTATCGGGTTGTTTTCAAAGGGATAAAAGGAACAACTTAAACACAGAAGTTTTGTTTTCGGATGTACTCGATAGTCATGGGTCATACTACATAGAATAGAAAAACACGACCTTTTGAATGATGGATTTGACATTGATGATATCTTTTGTGACAATTTCTCTCTTTCCAGGTCAGACCTTCAATTACATATCTAAAATAATTTAAATATTTCCGTGATATTTAAAAGTTAAAAAAAGTTAATTAATTATTTACAGTTTCAACTATTTAAAGGGACTCGTTCACACTTCTGATCGGGAGATATCCACTCTCATAAGTTAATTATGTACAATTCATTATCCTGTACATTAACTCATTGTTACAGCTCTCTGTGCAGAAGAAATACATCATTGCAGTCTCCTTTAAACATGGCGTAAAAGTAAATAAGTAAATAAGGAAGATGACTAAAGTGGAATTTAAGCATTATTTCTTTAACAAGAATTGCTAGATTAAATAAAGTATTTCTGTTATCACTACACATTAACGCCTGAATATTTGAAATACAAGGAAACCTTGAATAGTAATTACTGATATGCTTGTGACTTTCATGAGTAAAATAACTACATTTGAAAAAAACAGTGAAATTCATCGCCTATTTCTTGCTGGTTACAAAGTGTGCAGGTTCCTTTTTCTCTTTCGATAGCAAAATCAGAAAAGACAAGTGTGATTCCATGTGACGCCATATACTGACTTTCAAAAGAAAGTGTGCATATGGTTACAGAGAAGCTTTCTTTACTTATTTAAGAACACTTTTGGCATATTTGATATATCAACATTTGCAGAAATATATATTGATTATATGATGTTTGACTTTTAATTGAGATCTGATTATTATCAGAACTTTGGTTACGTAAAAGCAGCCGAGGGATGAAAAGTAATAGTAGAAGTGTACGTTTTTGTAAATGCGCTTTTGCCTTTTAAAACTTGAATGGTTTGATGGAACATCACTCGACCCAATTGTTTCGTTCTTGTCTGTATACAGAATTTCGAATTAACCAAGTGCACACTTTCTTTTTCAACTGAGTATATATTAAATCTATTTTTCAAATGGCGAAAAGTGAATTTCTTTTTTCCGCATAAACATTTATTTAAAATGTGTTCATTTTAACCCAGTTTGCTTTTAGAATAAACCTATGAGGCAATAGCAATTTTCTCATGATGAAACAGTCCATTTCAACGCTAAAAGCGCTAAAATTGGGTAACGCCCCATAATTTTATTTCAAACATAAATTCATCAATTTAAGTTCCCCTGAAACTTAAATCAAATCTGGTATAGCATTCTTCGATGAGTTTTCAAAAAACATAAAATAAGACATCATTTTACGTTTATTGACATTCAAAACCTAAGAGGATATTTTTTCGTTTGAGTGAAATATGGAATATATTTTCACGAAACATGATAAAATGCCACATATTTTCACGAGCCGGGACGGCGAGTGAAAATATGGGGCATTTTATCATGTTGAGTGAAAATATATACCATATTTCACGAAAAACGTAAAGATAACCTTTTTATTTAATTTCATTATCAAAGAAAAATGGTTATGAACCCCCTTGCCTGCTACGCAACTGCAATTATACAGCGCGCAGTAATATAAGTATCGTCTTGTTTTTCACGCGATATTTAGCGCTAGATTGTGACGTCACGTAAACAACTTTTTAAACGTCTGTACAGCGTTAATGGCTGAATTAAAGATATTGGTGTTCGGATTTATTTTCTTAGTTAGACCATTTTCTATCATTCTAGATAGTTTTCAAAACAAAATTCAACAAAAAAGTTGTTTGTATTTATCAGATTTTTCAAACAAGAAGTCCCTTAAAATAAATATGAGTTTTGACTCCGCCCACTTTCATATTTATATTTCATATTTATTTTTAAAAAATATGAAATATATTTGACTGATATAGCACCATATTTCATAGGTAAAATTAAATAAAAGTATTTATTAACATTAACATACAAACATGTTTTTCGCCACACATAATTGGCGGTTAGATTAACAATAGAAATATAATATTGAAAAGTATGAAAACATATAATTTAAGTTTCATCTTCATGTTTTAACATAAGATTGGCATATTTAAGTACATATAAACACATACAATATAAGTCACGGCATATTTAACATGTTTAATAAAATACATCATAAATATGACAAATAGTTTTAAAAAATACATATCTTATTATACAACAACACTCTCATTTCTCTTCTTTAAAGCCAGACACATTTTGCAAGTTTCAGTAGAACAGATCTCTTGGGTGTTGACATAAGCTTATTGAATTTGTCCATATTAGGCCATGTGTAATGATTATCTAAAAGCTAAACGTAATTCTCTATAAAATGGACATAATTATTAACAAAACTAAAATGTGCGAAGTAGCGATAGAGCAATTTATCGTATAAGCTCCGAAAGAGGTAGTTCTGTTGTTTACGAGGCGTGGCTCTGAAAATTTAAAGTTATGTATTTGCACAATAACGCCGTGCTTCACTAATACAGGGGTTCGAACGTATTAATGTTCGTTACTTTTTTAAATGAGGTGAAGAAATGGTGCGATACGGAATAATGGCGGAAAAAATGAAAAATTAACGTTGGTGAGAGCCGGTTTGTTTCAAATATCTGTTGTATGTTGTTATTTTTGTTCAAATAATAAAGTGCATGCGGAGCAGATTATATAACTGTATATGATAGTCAAAAGAAAAGAACATATTTCGTACTTAAGAGAAAGTTATTGAGGTTTTGCTTCTTCAGATGCCACCGGCAACCTTAAATGCTTACAAAATAGAAAACAATAACAGACATAATGAAACAGATATTTGATTAGTTTAAGCACCAACATTTTAACTATTAATATCAAAGCTAAATGCACGAAAATATTCTAATATCTATTTTGCATGTATATAACATTTCCGTATTCCTTACTGTACGTATGGTAATTGGTTCGATAAAATAACTGTACGCAAAAAATTTTGGTTCCTTACGATGAGTTTTTATGACCGTTTGATATCTGTTCACTGCGCATTGGCAATTAGTTACTTGTATGGTGAAAACAGTTTCATCTTATGAACAAATAACTATATCATAGTTAAATGCCTATGATCAAAGCATTTGCAAATGAATACAAGGACGGGCCAGTTCTGATTAGGGAGGAAGTATTCCCTGTTCTGATACAATGAAATATGAAATCACCTCTTTGGATCTAAATCGAAATGTGTTTTCTTTTCAGTAAAATAGTTTTGGTATATGTGTGTGCTTAATTCTAGACAAATCTTCATACTGAAGATTGTGGAATGTGTGCTCTATTTAAAGAAGGATCCGTTTGACAGACACATGGCAGTGCACATATGCCTTCTATATATATGCGTGTGCCCTAATTATGAAAAGTCTTGCCTGAGCATAGTCTTTAGCCAGTATGTATGTGAAAAAAGCGATATGATGTAAAGCAGCAAGGAAAATTCTTATTAGGACATTCAGCCATACATTGAGACAGGAAACCATGTATTAATATTTTATAATGATTTTATAAGATTTTTTTATGAGAACGTAAACACCAACAAGAAGTTCTACATCTATTTCACTATTCAACTGGTGTAAATTGTAAGTTGAAATTAAAATACACGTCTATAGTATTTAAATTGCATTGTTGGATTTGTAGAATCACGAAATTGTACATTCGAACTGCAAACTATTGAAATGGATATACACATTTTACCGCCCTTGTATTCAAGTTCACTATTGTGAGATGTTTTTTTTTTATTAAAATAAATTATTAAAACTATCAAGTTCTTTCTTTTGATGAACTAAATAGCACGCCCTGAGCTTCTCCTAAAACTAACAAAGGCAATATTTGTTTTTCTTCAACCTTGTAACATATTCTAACAGATTGTAACCCCATTGACGTTTCCTTCCTCCAAACTGCCTCAAAATTCCTTTCTTATTTTTTTCTTTTTCCTGATGGTGGCCACGACTTAGCTATCTCGTGGACACGACTTAGTAACTCGTGGCCACGATATAGTATCTCGTGGCCACGACTTAGTAACTCGTGGCCACGACTTAGTAACTCGTGGCCACGACTTAGCTATCTCGTGGCCACGACTTAGTAACTCGTGGCCGCGACATAATATCTCGTGGCCACGAGATAAATAAAAACACACACATGTCACCTTTGTGCCACCGTAAATATGTGTAGAACACAGTCCCACATGATTAACAAAAAAATTTAATTTTACCAGTAAATCTCTCCAACATTAATTTTTTCTAAAATGTACTCAGTCTGACGTGTGTTTATATTCTTAAATCCGCCATTACCCCGTATCGTACCATTTCACCTCGCTTAAATCCGCCATTACTCCGTATCGTACCACTTCATCTCGCTTAAATCCGCCATTACTCCGTATCGTACCATTTCACATCCCTTATATCGATATCGAACATCTATACGTTCGATCCCCAGCTAATAACGAAATGCAATGATGCATGATTAACATGTATGAGGTCAGCATTTCGTTATACATTTAGTCCTTTTGCGTCGTCATATCCCAAGTAGGATATGCGAATTTCTGCACAGTAACACTTTTCGAGCACTTTTCGAGCACGAAAAGCAAAGATCGATCGCAACTTCTATTGATTGTTTGTTTTGCCCGAAATGCCTGTATGCTTAGTTTAGAGTCAATCAATCAAACAATTGACCGAAGGATTGATTGATCGAATTAATAGATAAATAAATTAATCAATCAATCAATCAATCAGGCACATGTTCAATCAATCAATCAATCAATCAATCAATTAATCAAGCAAGTAATCAGTCAACTATCAATCGATCAATTACGTGATCAATCAATGAAGCAACTAATCAATAAAAAAGTACAATAATAAGGAGTAAATAATGCCTTAGTTCCTTCTGAAGGTGTTACTGGCTATTTTTAATAATTTACATAGAACCCACGCAGACATTTCAATTTGTTTTATAAAGTATGTCTCAGAAATGTCTCGAAATTGTTCCGCATTTCAAAATAGGAAATATTCATTTATCAAATCTAGTGTCTCTTCTACATACCGATTTCTCTAAGTTTCGGAAGATACTCCTCCAGAATGTATATAAAATGTATAAAAAAATTAAAACAATACAACATTTTATACAATTTCTGGTTGCGATCGGTTCACGTGTGAATTTACCAATTCTGGAGTTCACGAGATGTTATTTTTCTACTATAACGTTTTGCTCATAATGTTGGGCTGAGTCTTATTTGTATATTTATATATATTTAATTGTTTATGTTAATAGCATGCCATTCCAATCAAAAGCAATAAAATTATATTGATCTGCGCTTTGCATATTATGAATACTTTACGTTACACTACGTTTTTTAAAGTTAGATAATTCATATTGACAGTGGTTATTCAGGCGATTCATAAATTTAACAAATATTTGAAAAACATGAAATATATTTTATCTTATTCAGTGCACGTACCCATGCACAGAGGATCCCATTGAGGGTGAATTACCCCATTTTGCACATTTTCGGTTTAGCCTACTTATATTATAATAATAATAATGATAATGATGCTGTAGACATATCAAATACTATTGACATTTTTGAAAAATAAATGGAGGAAAATTAAATTGTTTCTACAAAAACGGTTTTTTTTTATCGAATGGTATGAAAGTAAATATTTCATCATTGGCGGTAGCCACGTGTGAAATATGATACTTTTCATACCACAAGATGACAATAAATCCTGTATTTATAGTAAAAAAAAAAAGAATTTTATAAATATTATATACATTTTATCTCTTTTTGGACGTTATAATAAGAGGCAGAAAATAGTCCGCTAAGACACTAGTGAAAATACGTAAATATGTTTCACTGTAGTGAAAAATATTTATTTTGCAGTGAAAATATGGAAAATGAAAATATACGTTTTATTCCATGAACATTCCTCAATACTTCATTTATGATTATTTCATAAATATGCTTCTGTCTATAGCAATAAAATAAACAAAGAATTTTTAAATGGTAAAATGGCAAAAGTGTAACAAATCAGCATGCATATATTCCTGTTACGAATTCGTCGAATTGACGTCTTTAGTTAGGGCCCATATTATGCAAAATTTACGATCATGAAAAGTTCGAAACTTGGCATGTTGTAATATTCACATGCTGCCCATAACAAAATATAGGTAGCTGTGTTGTTTTTATTCCTGGTTTTCATATGTATCATTCAATTTGCCATCAGGTTATGGGTTCTCGTGTAAGACTGATGACGCTTTCGAATCAGAATGTATGACACCCTACAACAATTATCTGACGACAAATTTCTGGACTAATATTTGCAGGTTCGTCCATCAAATTACATTTCCTTTTCTGTTTTCTTCTTCTTTCTTTTCGTGTTACTATTTTGTCGGTAGTTGAAGCTGACCATTTTGTTATTGTGGTGATTATTTCCATGTTGTAAATGAGCCACGTCACGACAAAACCAACATAATGGGTTTGCGACCAGCAAGAATCCAGACCAGACTGCGCATCCGTGCAGTCTGATCAGGATCCATGCTGTTCGCTATCAGTTTCTCTACTTGTAAAAGGGTTTGTAAGCGAACAGCATGAATCCTGATCAGTCTGGTCTGGATCCATGCTGGTCGCAAACCCATTATGTTGGTTTTGTCATGGCGCGGCTCAAATATTATTTGGCAATGATTTGTTTGATGATTAAGGATGTACAACTTTTACTTGCGACCGCCAGAAATCTAAAAAAATATACAAATTATACAAATGTATAAAAAACTTTACAATCACATCGTAAAGGAAGATCTGTTGCTTATGTTGAGAGCACTCGAAGATCAACCCTTTTGCCAAATATATTATATCATTGTATTGTAACTGTCGTTACATGCATGTTCAAAATGTATATGTTTCTTTTTTGGCAATAAAATATGACGATTTTTCTATCGTGAAATAAAGCAAAAATCTAAAACTTTAAAAAAAATAACGTTTATAGCATAGGATATTTTTAGCTATTATGCCATTAATATTATGTTTACAGTGACCAAGGAAAACTGGTATACTCGTGTATTTTAGCACAGAATAACTGTCCTACTGAAAATGCAGTTCAAACAACGTTTCTAGAAAAATTCAAAGCTCGATTCGACCCATACAAAATGAACATAGGATTCGCATGCGAATATCAAAGTAAGTATTATTATTATTATTATTATTATTACTAATATTTATTATTATTATTATTATTATAATTATCATTATTATTAATATTATTATTATTATTATTATTATAGTTATTTTTATTATCATTGTTGTTATTATTATTATTATTATTATTATTATTATTATTATTATTATCATCATCATCATCATCATCATTAAAATTATAATCCCGTTGAACAAGGATATTTTACCTTACACCTTAGTTTTCATTAATTTTCACCTGAATCATAAATATAATCTCATTAAACAAAAATAAAACAAGATTAGAGTAGGCTATTATAGAAGTGAAATTAAATCGTATTTAAAGTATATGAATAAAGGAATTATTTATGAAACCGAAAGCCAGTCAAGTTGTCCGTATTATATGTATGTAAATAGATGTATTCATTTCTTTTTGTAAAATTTGACTTGAATTTTATAGAAAATATTTTTTTATTACCTCCCTTTATTTACATGAAATGTAAAATTCGGAAATATCTTTAGGAATAATGAATTTGGAAACTACAATATTGATAAATCTTAATTTGAGCACAATATTTATGATTTAAAACAAAAAAATGTGTTACAGGATCTTTAAGAACTGGTACATGTATACCTGTAATTATGTTGCATAGCATATTTCAGGTATATTGGAAATAGTATTTTGTTAAAATTTTCAAATTAAGGAATTTGCGATAGCGTTTTACGAATCGTTTCTTTACTACATATATATTTTACGACAGCATGAGGCTAAATGTTTAAAACATTCCCGCCATGCAATAAACAGATGCTTATAATAAAAGAAAAAAAAACAAGCTCAAAAAGAGGAACGCAGGGGCGACTTTTTCTGTTGAAGACGTTCTTTCTCTTTATTATATAAGTTTTCTTCTGAACTATACTATCACTAGGTAAATATAATAGTAATTTGAATGTTTATTAATGAAAAGTTATAACACCAGAAGGCAAACATCATAAAATTATGAAATAATTAAGAGTTCTAAAGCCTAGCCATACCGCACGAATGTGCCTTTTACTTTGATGGTCACCGTGGCTGGCCTAATACTATACAGGTAGCATAGAATTATCAAAGGTGTAATTTCAAAGTCATATATTCTTTTTTCAGACACCGTCTGTCAGGGTGTCACACTCTGCGTACCGTCAAGTATATACGGCTTCCAAGGGGTGACAGTGTATGATTTCTACAAATATTTCTGCGGGTGTGTATATTTAAAAGGAAATCAAATATTAAACAAAATAATTAAAAAATGAGTTTTATACTTATCAATGGAATTTTCAGTGTCATTTCTAGTTTAGCGCCGCCATTTTTAATGTAACTGAATGATAATCGGCGAGCTATTCCGACAATGGAACAACCGCAACTTTTCAGCTTAAGAATATTCGTTGAGGTGTTCCGATTGAAAAAAGAAGCGGTGCAGGATATACGGTGCATGGTATACAGAATGACACATTTAAAACGAAAAATTTAAAATAAAAATGAACGATTTTTTTTATCTAACCTCCCTGTTCATAGGCTTTGCCTACATTCATATTAAATTTACACACACTATCTGCTGTCACCACTATTAGAATCAAAGTGACATACCTTAACTATCCAAAGTAAAAATATATATTAGCCGTGCCATGACAAAACCAACATAATGCGTTTGCGACCAGCATGGATCCAGACCAGCCTGCGCATCCGCGCAGTCTGATCAGGATCCATGCTGTTCGCTATCAGTTTCTCTACTTGTTATAGGGTTTGTAAGCGAACAGCATGGATCCTGATCAGACTGCGCGGATGCTCAGGCTGGTCTGGATCCATGCTGGTCGCAAAGGCATTATGTTGGCTTTGTCATGACGCGGCTCATATCCATAACGTTTCATTTAAGAATTCTTTACATCACCAAATACATTTCAGACCGGAAGTATCGTTGTGGACTATGTTCAAATGCCTTGCGGATTTACAGCCATCTTGTCCTGTTACTGTAGAACAGTTTTCGACGTACCAGTTAAATACACCCTCGGGTCTTTTATCATACTCGTCACTTGCCACCAACACATTAGCAGAATGTGCAAAAATTGGAGGTAACTAAATATATGTATATCTTGATTGTTGCAGTAATACGCACTTTTTACATAATGACTGTATGTCGGTTAAACAATCAATCAATCAATCAATCAATCAATCAATCACATGATATAAATGCGAAAGCGTCAATGTTTTGAATTCTTGAGTCATTACATTTTCGATATAAAATTGAAATTTTACAAAAAAAATCAGGGTTTCTCTTAATAACTTATTCAAATTGTTAATGAGGGATATCTTAAATCTTGAAATAAAGACAAAAAGATTACGTCATTTTCAGATGAAGATGTACAATGTATTCAGTCAAAAGTTGGTGATATTGCTCAGTGCGGCATCATTTCGACAATAAACATGACGTTTTTGACTATGAACTGCCAGTAAGGACATTTTGCTAATTTATTCCGACTGAATTTTATGCGTAGTTTATTTTTTGAAGGAAATTAAAATATTTTAAAACAAGATATGATAGTTTCCAATTATATTCACAGTGCTATGTGCAGATTAATATTTATAGTCAGAAATATACTTAGAATAACGTGCGCCTGAACTCTGTGGGTTCGAGTCTTGTAGGATACATAATATTATTTCATGCCGAGAAGTTATTAGAGGGTTTGTTGTTTTAATCAGGTATTTCCAACTGCTTGTGTTGGAAGTAAGTAATGCATGACTGGGCAAAAATTTACATTAACAATGCTAGTGGAAACAGATTTTAACTATGCGTCAAGTGCAGACCAAGACAAATCTAGACTTAATTCCAATTTAGTAGTATTCAAGTCGTTTACCGTCTATAAATGAGTCACTTTGAAACGGCTGGTCCAGGTGACAATTGAATATTGAATAGCGAATATTGTTGGATGAAATCGTAAATCTCTGAAATATATAAACGAACATGATGTCATGAAAAATATTCCGCTTAAAATCATGTATGAGATGGGTTACAAATGACTGAGCATGAAGACTTTATTTTTTTACAAAAATAGGACGCTTGTGCATTTAAAAAAATTATTTTTACTAAAAGTTTTCCCTATTCAGGTATACTTCTAAGACTAAAGCATGCGTTTCTGCGAAATGTGGAGCTAGTGTGGCAACATTCTACGATGCAATGTACACATTTTTAAATTGTTTCCTAAACAGTAAGTTACATGACGAATTATTCTTACAATCACCGTAACTATAAAAAAAGTTTCTTTACTTCCTATTACTCTTTGTAAATGTTGATGTCTCTATTCTGATATTCCTATAGAGAAAGGTCGCTATTTTGGTATTGAAAGTGAAAATAGAACATGCTCAATTTGTAACCAGCAAGAAATAGGTGATGAATTTCACTATATTTTTAAGTGTAGTTATTTTACTCATGAAAGACACAAGTATATCAGTTATTATTATTAAAGATTTCCTAGAATTTTAAATATTCAGGCTCTTATGTGTAGCGACAACAGAAATACTATATTTAATACAGCCATTTTTGTTAAAGCAACAATGCTTAAATTTCACTTAAGTCATCTTCCTTATTTACTTATTTACATCTATGCCATGTTTGTATTATTATTTTTTGTTCACTCTGATGAATACTTGTTTATATATAAAAAAAAAACAATCAAACTAAATCAGTATGACTATAAAATGAAAGTAATTTATAGCACACATGATAATAATGTGTCACTTTATACTTTTAAAAGCTTTATTTTGAGTAAATTTACTTCCTCAAAGTTAGCTAACCACTTAAGAATTACATTTTATAACCTTTTTAGAAAAGTGTTTTTTTTTCACGGACCAAATGTTTGTTAACTTTATAATATAGACTTGTGTAAGTATGTATTTATTTGTGCCTTTGTGATATTTATTGGCACGTGATATTTATATTACCATGTGAAATCTATATTACCATGTGAAATCTATATTACCATGTGAAATCTATATTACCATGTGAAATCTATATTGCTATTTGTAACGACACACGTTAAAATTTAGTAATTTGCCGTTCAATACAGAACATACATATGAGAAATACACGACAAAACCAACATAATGGGTTTGCGACCAGCCTGCGCATCCGCGCAATCTAATCAGGATCCATGCTGTTCGCTTACAAACCCTAATCCAAGTAGAGAAACTGATAGCGAACAGCATGGATCCTGATCAGACTGCGCAAATGCAAACACATTACGTTGGTTTTGTCGTGACGCGGCTCATATATACAAACGCGAAACTCAATTTAGCACATAAATATAAAAAACCTATCATTTCCAGATGGAGAATGGAGCGGTTGGACTGGATGGTCGACGTGCACGTTAACATGTGGCCAGGGTATCACACTACGAACACGTGATTGCAGCATTGGACCAATTTCCGGTGAACAGGTTTGCGAAGGAGAAAGCACGGAAATTAAAGACTGTACAATAACAGAGTGTCCAGGTATTTTGTTTATTGTTTCTATATTTTTTTGCGTTTATATACACAGTTTTTATGAGGCAGCACGTCTAAATTCTACAATGGAGCATCCATGATATACAGTTTCGTAATGTTGCACGTGTGTATAGATTGACATGTATGCTACCATACTTTCCTGCTTAAATCGCTCCTTAGTTCTGAAAGCGTAATAAAAATGTAAACGTTCGCGTATTTTGTTCTAGTTGAAACAAAATGGATTTATACTGCAGTTTATGCGTTTTTTGTCCGATTGTGTTTGAACCTATAAGCTTATTAAAAGCTTCTCGTATTCGGTCCTAAAACCAACCAGTACAAGCTTTCTTGCTCACGAAAACAACGGCATGCCGCTAACGGGAATGGATTTATAGCTTTGCCTGTTACGACTTTCCATAGTTTCTGATACTAAACTGATATTTGCAATGAATATACAACATATTCTAATTGTAACTTTATAACTAAATATATAATCGAATATGTATTATATGGATGTATTATATCATTACAAAACAATCAGTTGATGGTCAGTTTGGATTTTGGGGATATTGGTCAGAGTGTAATCAAAATTGTGGCGGAGGGTCTCGAACTCGAACCAGATCGTGCAACAACCCAACACCAGCCAATGGTGGAAAGGATTGCGAGGGAGATAAAAGCCAATCGGAGCTTTGTAACGAACAGCAATGTGCTGGTAACTAAACCTGTTTTGATATATATTAAGTTTGTTATTGTTTAACTAAAGAACATGAGCATTAAATATAAATTTGCACCGGTAGAAAATTAACTTTTAAAAAAAGACTTTTACATTTTATGTTCATTGTCTAAAATCGGTATGGAAAAGCAGGATTGGAATTTGACATAGTTATGACCAATGAACACAGAAATTAATAACTTTATTTTACATCCTATAAAATGATTCTAATGTATTTTATTTTCAGCGTTAGCACCAACCGTTTGCAATTTTTATTGGACCCATCTTAAAAAAAATTAACCTCGTTCAAACAATCCATATCGAATCATTTTTGTTTTCCGTCTAGAGTTGTTTTCATTTTCAAAGTAAATTAAAACGCGTCAAGTCATTATTGTACTCCGCATAGCCTCGCTTTCATTTTCAGAGTCCAAACAAAACCATATTAAATCTTTATTGTACTTAAAGTAACTCTGTACTGTTAAAATGTAAATGTATGTTGTTGAATACAAGACAAGTTCATGCAGCTGCAAGACCTATAGTAGACACGACAAGCGCCCAGTCCAATATTTTATATTCAACAGGAGACTATGGACTTTGGAGTGTTTGGAGCACGTGCTCTAAATCATGCGGCCAGGGTTCACAATCTCGGACAAGGACTTGTGAAGGAGGCGGTTCATGTAGCGGACCCAGTTCAGAATCGAAATATTGCACTGTACAAGAATGTCCAGGTGAAATCATATCATTTTAAGTTGTTTCTTGTTAACACTAAATATCATTTAACGCAACATAAGTAACTTAACGGTTAAGAGCGTTTGTTGATATCCAATTTTGTCTTATTGATCACAAAATAATCAGTTATATAGATAAATATATTATAAAGAAACCAAACACATAACAAGTGAGATTCTATGATGACGTTTACTTATGGGAATAAAAAAAGTAAAATATGTTTTGCCGTACGTACGCATAGACAACAAATTAGATATTTATCGTTGAAACGTTCGTGACTTTTGAAAAATTTCTTTGCGTCTTTAAATATTCGTTACTGAGCTGTTCCCGTTATTGTTAACAATTCGACAAATTACGTAATTATCCGTAACTTATATTAAAAAGAAAGCATTAAGTTAACGAGCATTTTATTGTTCCGAGTCATAGAGACGCGTATATTATCTTTTTGAAGCACGGAAAGTGACGAAATATCCGAAAGTACATTTTGGAAAGGGGAATATAGTCTATATAGTGTATAAAGCAACATCACTTTTCTATATGGAAAATGAATACTCGTATAAACTGACTGAATCTAACTGGTAGGAATTTAATTATAAAAAGATAAATTAAACTGTATGCCAAATGTTTGAAATCGGTTTTGAAGAGGAGATGTGAAGAGGAAATCACATAGACATGTCCAACGAACGGAAGACAAAATAATTGTATAATTCAAAACCTGATCGAGTATTGAGTCAATTATATAATAATAAATGAAAATGTTGTTGACATCCTAACTGATGCGTTAATATTCAACAGGTGAATATGGACTTTGGAGTGAATGGAGCACGTGTTCTACAACATGCGGCAAGGGCTCACAATCTCGGACAAGGACTTGTGAAGGAGGCGGTTCATGTAGCGGATCCAGCTCAGAATCAGAAGATTGTATTGTACAAGAATGTCATGGTGAAAATTTAATGGTTTAATATCAATAAAAGTAGTCTACTTAGTATCATGTAATGCAACATTCATAACAAAACGGGTATGCCAATTTTCCGTTATGGGGCCGTCACACCATGACGTTCTGGTCAGCGTTCTATGACGTATGAGGAAACGTTGGTAGTGGCCCATATGCATGATTGCTGGGGTAGTGCCAGAAGAACGTGGTGTAAACGCCAGTGAACGTCGGTAATAGATTGGAATCGGCGAAGAACGCTGGTCCGAAAAAAGGTTTTGAACATGCACAAAAGTTTTCACTCAGACCAGCGTTTTTCAACGTTTAAATTTCAAACGCTGAAGAACTTGCACTCGTTCGGCTTTCGTCAGTCAGCCGTTTCAATTGCTTTGCAGTGAACGACTCACCGGCGACCTGTCAACGATCGCTGGACGCACAAAACGTGTGACTAAAGACAAACGAACGTCCTTTTAGTGCCATTGAGAGTCATTTGAGCATCATTCGACCGTTTTATGAACGTCTATGCATATCTGAAAAGCAAGGTTCATTTGATTTTGGGTTTCAGGGGTATCATGCTTGGTAAATGTTACACGCTTTTCGTGCGTTAGCCACACGCTTGTTATGTGTTAGATACATGCCACTATCTCGCCAAATGTGTCAACCTCATTTTAGAATGCTAAAGAAAATGGAACGATTGAAACGTTCAGAGAGCGTTGACCAGAATGTCATGGTGTGATGGCCCCATAACGTATATCTAGAAGAAATTGTTCAGAGTATTGTTGTTTCTGGCGGAATATTGCGAAATACGCCTAAAGTATGTTCATACTGACCGTGAATATTATCTCTGTTTTTGTCTTATTGACACGAGTCATTTCCATTCACACAATGGACACAAATTTTGGTTATATAATGTGCTGCTTTTCGAGAGGGATGTATTTTTCCCAAGGGTGACCCTATGTTCCCGAAGAAATACATTGGACTATGTGATGCATCCGCCAGAAAAAACCCGATAAAAATCACAGTCGTTGTGTACAAGCGTTGGTAACAACAAATTGAATATTTTGTTATTCATTTATTTTAGTGGATGGGGCGTTCAGTGACTGGGAAGTATGGACAATCTGTTCTAAGACATGTGGCGGAGGAATTCGCACGAGAGCACGGACATCGTTCAAATCCTTCTCCGGCTTTTGGCGGGATAGAATGTGATGGATCATACAAACAGTCAGATACGTGTAACGGGCTCACATGTCCAGGTAAAAGAGAAGTTAGCTGATTAAACTCTTTATAGTTGCTATTGTTTTGATAGATAATACATATTAGGAATAACTACCTATTAGGAATGGGTGAAAGATATAATACAAATAGATTATATGTCTCATATTGAATGTTATTTCCGTTCTAACTAACCAACCTTCATCTCCTCTGGCTTCACGATGTCCTAGCAATTGTTTGGTTTGCGCACCAAAACAATTTAGGTCATATCGCATCGAAACAAGAAAAGTGATTTAGGCTTAGAGATGCATAGACTCCAGAAATTCGAACCCATTTGCGCGTCTGTTAGATCACGGAGGGATAAACGGTGGCTGCAATGCTGATGCCTCAGTCCTTAAATGCAGCCCCTCAGCGACCTGTTTTTTTTTCTTTCTGCCAGTCTCTGTATGTCCATACAAACATACAAGTACTTAGGTAGATATTAGGACAATAGGTTGCAGTAAATTTCCTTTTATATAATTCGTTCAGTTAGCTTTTTCTGTTTTAAGGCTAAAAATAGCAAGAACAAAGTAGAAGCCACATACGTACCAAAATTTTAGGTCGCCCGTCCGTTTGTTTGAACAAACATTTGTAACATATTTGTTAATGTTGATAAACGATGGAATATTTTGGGTACTTTTATTGAAAATGTCGTTGTATGTTTAAAAGGAACAGCTTTTATAGAGTATTTATATGATTTGATTTGTAATGATTTCAATGTAACAAAACCAAAACAGGCGTATTTTCATATGTTACACATTTACAATAACACCAACTACTAAAACGATTTTCATTGCAATAAATGTAAAATAAACGGTTGTAAAGAAGAAGCATGACAATTTGTGTGGGCGCTACATTAAGTTGTTAAATTGAATGCATTTGTCAAGTTTAGTCAACATTATTTTGTTAAGATGTGTAATGGTCCTAGTATATATTTAACACACATGAATGATTAAAGAAAACATAATAAAACATTCCTTTACAAAACATGACATAAGAAAACAAAATATAAAACATTCAAATGGAATTTAAATTTAGTTTATGATTATTTCGCGCGAGCACAACCCGCTTTATAGGCTGTAATTGACAGAAATATGTATTTTAAGCATGATTTGTTTTTCAACACACAACATTATGTTTCATCGATTTCATATAAATTGTCGGCAATATCGTTTTTTACCATTTTTAGTTTAATAATGTTTTATTGTATATTTTGCACATTATAGATTTACACAATTTAAAAGCATTATCTTAAGCATAAGTACAATACACATACAAATGGGTTAGACCAAATGTTATACAAAATTATCTAGGGTCCTCCCCAAAAGGAAGCTTTTTTACCATTTTTTAACACATTGTATATCTTGATACAAACGCTACGCGTGTCTTCGAAAAGTAAGGTACCATTTATTTTGACAAAGTGTAAATATGAAAGACATCTGTAACCAGATTATTTTTATTTCATTTTTATTTTATGTACTGTATCAAGTTAAAAAGTGCCTTGCGGAAACGAATAAGTACGGTTCATGGCCAGAAACAGACCCAGGAGTGACAGTTGATCTAGGATGCAAGAAACAAGAAGAAAAAGGTACTAGTGTTAAATGTATTTATTCTACAGCGGAATTTGTAAGCCTCTATGTTAGTAATAACCTGTGAGAACCAAAATAAGTAACAAAACAATTAAAAACTCAATCATGCAATATTTAGTTGATCTTTATCTGATTTCGCATGACAAAATTATTTGTTTACTGTGCATGTTAATGGGTTATAGGGAAAAGATCTGCCGACCTGTTCTATTTAAATAGGATATATTAGCTTAAACATCATAAGATTTAAGCTTTTATTTTAATTTGGTTGGAAAATTCTTTTATATCCAACTTTGGGTGGTCGTTTTGGAATGATATTAAAATCTTATTTTACTATTTTAGTAAACATGTTATTGCATTTAAAAAACAACAGAAAAAAACAAACAAAAACAAACAAATAACGCTAGTGTTAAATCTTAAGACACAAATGAACAAAATGAGCTAGTTGCAGTAGTGTATAACTTAAAGATATCAAAAATATTTTACAAAAATTTGTTCCATTTTTCCGGTCCTGAAAACGTTTAGAAAATTTCCCCCGTTTTTGGGAACATTGACGAAAAAAAAAGCCCCATCTTTTGTAACAGTCTGAATGTCCTTAAGTAGCCATTTTAATCTTTTTCAAATACATTTGTTTTGGATTTTTATTTTTAATGAGGACCAAATATAAGTAATCTCTCTATAAAATTTTTTTTTTTTTTTTAAAATTTTTTTTCGAAATAATTTTTTTTTTTTCCCCTCAAAAAAAATTTTCATTGAAATAAAAATTTTTTTAAATTCGTATTAAACACAACAATACATATTAATATTTACTGTCTCTAGGATCGTATTCGCGTAGATGTGGGTCTGATGGGTCCTGGGAGGAGGTTACTGGAGCTTGTGAAATAGATCCTGAAGTTCTGAACGAGATTGATGAAGAGGTAGGTATGTAAGAAGCCATAGTTGCTATTAATTCTGCTGTTAACATTTCATTTATGTAAGATTAATTGTAAGATAAGGGGGAGTGTAAGCTCTTAAATGCATGGTTTTGGTTTATTCTATTGCCGAATATAATCAGATTTGCTGTCACTCTCTGTCATCTCCATGAGGTACAAAACAAAAAACGCTTACATTTCTAACCATTATTGAAAATATTGTAAATAATGAAAAAGATACAGTTAATGAACATGTATTTACAATGTACACTTTCTTCGTACAAAGTTACAAGGACTTGCAAACTCTGATGAAGATATATCGGAAGACCTTGAAAATATACTGAAAAACCTAACGGAATTAACTGGAACGGTCGACGGTGATACAAGTGTCACTTCAATGACAAGACTTGTAGGCACGGCACAAAGTGTTGTCGACGTCATTGAAAGCAGTAAAACCGTCACAGAACAAGGAACAAAGGTAATCAGTGTTCTCTTTTAGAATAATTACCTGTTGTGTCAGGAATAATGCACGTTGAAGGCAACTTAGGTCTTCCTCCAAAGTTACCTATCATCTTTACAGTATTGTCGTGGCTTAAAATTTACCAAAACAAACATGCAAACAAACTTAATTGTCTTTTGCATCAATATCAAGGTCTGCTTTTATTTTATCACAATTCAAACACATTTGTTTCAGCTCGAGTGTTAAGGATACTAGCCTGTGAAGCATTTACGCAAATTGAAAGAGTTGGTTTCTTGAAATTTAACAATACTGGTGTCACATGAGTATGGCTCGAAACCTTACAATCCCCGAAATGATAGGCTGTCACCTTAACCACTAGGCAAATTCAGTCTGCGCAGTCGTGCTGTTTGATCACGCTCTGTACCAAAGGATGTTTAATTTTAACATTTTGAATTTTTTGGAGCCCCAAGTATGAATTGACAGTTTCAAATTCAATATTCATTATAACAATCTTTTACCAGAGTAATAGGTTATAACTTAATGTCAAATCTCCTTGCTGATATCGTGTCAACACTGCAAATGTTCATAACTTCCTGATAAGTAATTGGTTTTGATGGATTGCATGGTTGAATGAACTAATCAGATTATCTGCGTGAAAGGTTCACTGGTCTATGTGGTAAAAATACATTTGGTGATTATGCAAATGTAGTAAATAAACTTGTGTCATTGAATGACGAGTCTAAAGAGATGAAATTATTTAAGGCAAATAAATATATTTCTGACTTACATCATGAGCTGGGATTTCCCCTCCCCATTTGATCGTTAAAACATAATTTTTCTTCCTTGGCGTATTACATAAGTAATCATACATTTTAAAGCCTCGGTCTCACTTACTCCCGGTAGAGCCCAAGACCATCCCGGTCAGTTACCGGGATGATCCGGGACGATCCGGGATGAAATAATTGTTGCGGTCACACTTACCCCGGCAGCACTACGGTAGCTCCCTACTAACCACCCAGGATGCGCTCCGGATCATCCAGGCAGAGCCAAGGTAAGGCTACGGATCATGCCGGTGCTTCCCCGGTCGTTCCCGGATGACGCCAGAAGAGCCCCGGTTGACCCAGGCAGAGCCCCGGCCAATCCAGGCAGAGCCCCGGCAGAGCCCAGGACGATCCAGGCAGAGCCCCGGTAGAACCCCGGTGGATTGAAAACGCCCGAAAATGATAACATTGATACATAATCTTTATTTAATATAATATCTATTGTTCCAGAATAGTAATTCATGATGATTTTTTGTAAAATCCTTATGCCATACTGGATAGAAGGGAAATGGGAAGGCTTTTAATACAAACAAGTGCAATCATCGCAAATTGTCGTTATTCTTTTGAAATGATCCGGGCTTTGCCGGGGGGGGGGGGCCTACCGGGATCAACCGTAGCTCTACCTTTATCCTCCTGGGCTCTGCCTGTAGTTACCGGGGCTCTGCCGGCATATACCGGGGCTCTACCTTAGCTCTACCGTAGCTCTACCGGCTATATCATACCCCGGATCATCCCCGGTTTGTGCCGGCAGAGCTACGGTGCTTTCCCGGTATAACCCCGGTCGCTTAAGCTACAGTCTCACTTACATCCCGACAGAGCCCCAGCAGAGCCCCGGTAGACGTCCGGGGTGATCCGGGAACGATCGGGGTACGACCGGGAACAACCGGGATACATCCGTAACTCTGCCGGCAACGTCCTGGATGATCCGGGATGATCCGGGAACATCCGGCATTCGACCCCGGGTGGAATAAAATATTTAATATCACCGGGGTGATCCGGGATGATCCAGGAAGGTACAGCTTTGCCGGCTTTATCCTTAGCTCTGCCGGGAACGACTGGGGTTATACCGGGGAAGCACCGTAGCTCTGCTGGCACAAACCGTGAATGATCCGGGGTATGATTTAGCATGTAGAGCTACGGTAGAGCTACGGTAGAGTCCCGGTATATGCCGGCAGAGCCCCGGTAACTACAGGCAGAGCCCTGGAGGATACAGGTAGAGTTACGGTTGATCCCGGTGGAGCCCCGGCAAAGCCCGGATCATTTTAAAAGAATAACGACCATTTGCGATGATTACAATTGTTTGTATTAAAACCCTTCCCATTTCCCTTCTCTCCAGTATGGCATAAGGAGTTTTCAGAAAATCATCATGAATTACTATTCTGGAACAATAGATATTATATTAAATAAAAATTATGTATTAATGTTATCATTTTCGGGCGTTTTCAATCCACCGGGGTTCTACCGGGGCTCTGCCTGGATCGTCATTGGCTCTGCCGGGCTCTGCCTGGATCGACCAGGGCTCTGCCTGGGTCAACCGGGGCTCTTCCGGCGTCATCCTGGAACGACCGGGGAAGCACTGGCATGAACCGTAGCTTCACCTGGGCTCTGCCTGGATGATCCGGAGCGCATCCTGGGAACTACCGTAGTGCTGCCGGGGTAAGTGTGACCGCAACAATAATTTCACCCCGGATCGTCCCGGATCATCCCGGTAACTTACCGGGATGGTCCTGGGCTCTGCCGGGAGTAAGGTATTTTAAACCTCGCCTCGCCATATGTTTACAATGAACCTAACCTGTTTAGAATTTGGAACTGTTTGTTGCTATTTTAAGTGGCTTCAGTATTGAAAACCAGATACTGAGAAGCCATTAGTATAAATTCTGGTAAAATAGGGCGGGCGTTTTGGCTTTTCTGAATCTAAATGGTGGTTAAGACAAATCATTTAGTATTGAAATTTCATTAGATAATCTTGATATCGTAAAAGCGACAGCAGCGGTAATTTATTGTTCACGAATGTTAAACGGAAGTGATTTGCATATATGCTTTACTCATAGTTTACGAATTACCTCATATTACAGATGTAAATTTACTGAGGTTTTGTTTTTTTATCATGTAAACAGAGTGACTAAGCCCATTTTGTTTACATCTTTACCTAAACGAACTGGTTTATTGTGCATTAGAAAACAAACACATTTTATTATAGAACATAATTATACCCCCGCACAACAAAGTTGTAAGGGGGTATACTGGAATCAGCTTGTCCGTCCGTCCGGTCGTCCGTCGGTTTTTTCTTGTCCGCCCAATAACTTAAGATTCCTTTGACCCTTAGTCTTCATATTTGGCATGGAGGTTAGTCATGATTAGTAGATGACCCCTATTGATTTTTGAGGTCACTAGGTCAAAGGTCAAGGTCACAGGGGCCTTGACTTCAAAAAGCTTGTCCGCCAAATAACTTAAGATTCCTTTGACCTACAGTCGTCATATTTGGCATGGAGGTTAGTCATGATTAGTAGATGACCCCTTTTGATTTTGAGGTCACTGGATCAAAGGTCAAGGTCATAGGGACTTTGACTTCAAAAAGTTTGTCCACCCATTAACTTAAGATTCCTTTGACCCACAGTCTTCATATTTGGCATGGATGTTGATCATGACTATAAGGTGACGTCAAAGGTCAAGGTCACAGGGACCTTGACAAAAAAAAAAGCTTTTCTTCTCAATTGCTAAAGAATGTCCTGTCCGCAATGTATCGATTTTGACATTTTCACATTTGAAGCATGTAGAATACATAACTTAGCAATGCACTGGCTTAGTAACCTCAGATTTGGCAGGGAGGTTGTCCTTGAGCTCTAAATGGCCACTGTTGATTCTGACAAAGTGGTATGCGGGGGTATTCACGCCATGATAGTGGCAGTTCTAGTTTTATCAACGGACACTATTTTTTAGTAAAACATTCTTGCTCTTTTTAAAGCAATTTAACATTTGTAGAACCTACAGACTACCATTTACTTAAAATAGCACACATGTTTGTGAGGAAACAAAAAATGATATTTCAATTAAAGAAGAGTTCCAAATGTTCATTGTTATTATTATAATTATCATCATCACCATCATCATTCTCATCATCATCACTGCCGTCATCGTCGATGTCATTTATATCATTATAATTTTGGCATTAGTAATGCTCTACGGGAAAACTGTGTGTCCGTCCGTCAAAGATAACCCATGACAAGATATGGCTTAATTTGTTTTAGACATGCTATAACGATTATATCTGTCTTGGCACATTTTCTACAAATCTGTGGTATCACGCAAATGATTATTTTGAAGGCATTACATTTGTCTGTATTTTAGGAGTTCCTTCAGTTAATGGACGATGTCATTAAGCCTGAAACGGAAGAGACTTGGCAGAAAGTAAGTAGAGACTTATCCCTAACGTATTTGATTCATATTCACTACTTGATATTAGTGGTATTTCCTAGACAGGTAGATGATCTTTCTGACGCTGACTTGAGCTGATATTAAATATTTCTACAATCTGCAGTTTTGTTCTCTAAGTAATATCCATAACCTGATGAATTTGTATAGTGATTTTGACCAGTATAAATTTGGAACAATCTTTTTAAAAGTCAAGAAACGAGATTTGAGCTACCGATGATATAGAGATTGGTCAGACTGCACAGATGGTGCAGGTATCTCTGGCTCCATACTGGTTGCAGAGGCTTATCAGTTTTGGTTTAAACAGGTGAAGAAGATTAAAGATAACGTTACCGATATTATACTATAAGAAGTTATATTTCTTATCTTCAAAGAACGCTCAATGCGACATTATTGTCGTTTGTACTATTTTAGTTCCTTCTATTCTTGTAACGACGGTAGTTCCATACGGTGCCCACACAAGCCTTAAATAATACACGTAAGGGCACCTGAGGTCTTCCTTCACCAGTAAAGCTAGAAAGTCACCATATGACCTTTACTGTGTTGGTTTCGGCGTAAAACCCGACAGAATGAATAAATAAATTCCATGGCAGATGTAATAGCTTACAAAAATAACAGATATTAACGACTTTTGTGATATGGTATATAACAGATAATGATAAAAATAAAACCATAAAATAAACAAATTTATTGTTTTAAGTATGTGAGGGGGCGTTTCTAATTAGGGTTGAAAATATTTTTTCGTGGTACGGATCAAATGTGGCCATTGATGAGGGAAACAGTCATGGTACGGGAAACATTATTGAAAAGGCCCGGGCCAGAATATCGCGCTGATTTTTTTTTTTTATTGTTACTACATGACTACAATAGTTGGTGTATGTTAAGTCTAATCCAGTGTAAAAGAATTTTAAATACATTATGTCATTTGTCTCCAACTAAAATAAACTTAATTTTTCTTACATCGCTGTTTTCCCTTTTCTATAAAAGGGAAGGGTTTTATAAAAGGTTTTAATAAAAAAAGAAAACTTATCCCCTTATTTGGCCCAGAAGGAAAACATTCGGGGGCCTTTTGAGTCTTTGAAAAGCGCCTCTTGATATGCAAGTCTAATAAACTCCAATCCAGTCAAATAAATTTTCCAGATTAATACCCCTGTAATATAATATAATTCAACTATAAAATGAAATGAAGACATTTATAAACTAAGATTGATTTTACTTCGTAAATTTCTTGTTGTTTGTCACTAGATACGGAGATAGGAAAGTCGGACGCAGGTGTAAAATTTCCCTCGAAAATACAAGCTGATAATTCTATCGAAATTCCAGCAGCTTCATTGGCATCAAAAGGTAATTGACAACAACAATATTTACTCCCAAATTGTACATTATGAATATATGCAATAAGCATATTAAAAATGAAAAATTCGAGGATTGGAAAAAAAAAATAAGTGTGGCTTCCTTTTCATCGACAACACCATTATTGTTTTATTTACTCCCCTCAGCACATGCATTTCGTTGAGAAAGCACAGAAGATTTGAAGAACTCTGGATGGCAAAAAATAAATAAAGACAAGAACTTGTAACTGCAGACCAGCAGCCGTTCTCCTGACTTAAGCCAAGGGAAGTGGCCCTACAAAGCATGCAGGGACGACGAGTAATGTGTGCTAGGGTGCGTGAGCCCCTATCACAGAGAGTGACGGCTTGAAAGACAGGCCTTATGCTTGTCACCAACAGCCCTTTTTAAGGCCACTTTCTTTTCATATTGTCTCGAGTTACTGTACATTTAGATTCAATTGGGCGCCGTACAGTAACTTACTTTTGGCTCGAAATTCATATCTTTGGCTAATTATCCGTGGAAATTGCATGGTGCATGGAACTAAGTTATCACCACTTTGGGCTTTAAAATTAACCCTTAATGGGACTGACTGGTTGACATGTCTGGCTGGGCTCCGTACTCGACATCGAAAGCTGACCATCATTTAACCTAGAATACATACACATATATCATTATTTATATTCTCAAATACGTAAATGGTGGCATCATAACTTACTTTTGTAGACATTGCGGTAACCTAATTGTAACAAAGTAGTGTGAACCAATTGTTACGGTACATTTTTAGACATTTCGGTAATTCAATTGGCACAAACTAGTCGTGGACGGCATCATAATTGTAACTTTTACATTTATTTGACCTTGTATTTACAAGGTAGAAGTTAACAAAGTCATTGTGGTTTATTTACTGACAATTTGGTTATTACATTATTGCAACATTTGCGCCTTCCGTGACGGACATGACACGACATTAAATGCACCTAGTCATAGGGAAGCTTATTTAATCTTCACTAGTCACGGAAAGTTACGGAATATACCGAATTTATACGATCGTAATGTATGGATTGAAATTAGCTTAAACAATCTGTTACGCAAGGGGCGGAAGGCGAAAAAGAGTGAATATCAGTTGATCATCATATTAAAAACAAATCAAATCACAGTAAAGTTTTCAAGAGTAAATTATCTGATATTAATTCAAGTGAATCTCATAAACCTTCCAACAGATATTAAAGTTTGCAACATTTTTACCCCTTTACGACGCATTCCATACATGTTATGAAGGTAATAAAAACGTCTTTCGATGTTATGAAATTTTATAATTTATTTGGACACTGATTGAAATTGATACTGGCCTGCGTGATCAGATAGATATTATAAAAAATGATCAAGCAACTGGCATACCAATCAAACATTTTGTTTTTGTATATCACTTATATCTACTAAAATATATGTATGTATATATTTTGGTTTTAAATAAGATAATACACACACTTTTTGTTAATATGGTATGACCTAGTTTTAGAGAATGAAGAAGACATTATGTGCCAATTGCGGTTGCGAGTTTGCACTTAAATAAACTATTTCACTAAATTTCAAAAAGTCCAATTTTCTGTATCACGAAGCAGGGAAATTGGTGATATTAACATCGAAAATTGTATATCATTTTTTCAAACAGCAATAAAATATATCTTATCTATAAAGTTTAATTTTCTCTCTCGTTTTAAGAAAAGATTTGTTACTATATGTCAATAAATGCCTTTAGATTATACTTTCTCATATGTTACCGATATATTCTATATCAATTATATGTTTATCTATTTTTTTTATTTCCAAAGGTGGTTTATACTTTCAAATTTTATAAAAGTAATTACTTAATACATGTAAAAATGACAGTAAGAATGGGGTACTTATTTGCAACAAATTACAAAGTACATAAATTTAGATAACAAGATATAAATCAAAATGTTAAAAGCAATTATTCTCGCATCGTTAACTCTTGTTGCATACCATAAAATATGGTACTAGTAGTTTACATTATTTAAAATGTTTTACAATAATATCGCAACATCCACAGGGGCGTCCGTGGCCAACAGGTTAAAGAAGTTGACTGCAAACCACTTGACCCCAACGCTGTGGGTCCGGATCATGACATGGTCTGTTGATTCTTTCATGTTAGGGAGCTATCCAGCTATCTTACGGAACGTTGGTGGTTCTACTCCGTTCGTGCCTGAAATAATGCAAGAAGGGCACCTAAGGAAAGTCGCCATATGACCTATGCTCTTTTATTATGACGTGAAGCCTAACAAAAAAAATCTACGCTGATAGGAAGCAAATCGTTATGTTCTTAAACTATATGTACAATATTACATGTACATCTGTTTTTGACGAAGATGTAATTTACGCTTAAAGTCATCAGTTGTCCATTTCAAAGAATATTTCTAGAGCGGCTAAGAATATTTCTAGAGTGGATGATCATTTCTTGCAACCATAAAGGAACTTGTATAGTACAAACTCAGTTATGATGTAAAGGTAGCTTGGTAACTCTGGTTAAACTTTTTAACATGGCTTTTATATATCGGATAGTAATGACATTTAAATAGACGTAAAAAGTTTGCTATAGGTCTAGTAATCTTGATTTTGTTTGGCTATGAAAGCACAAGTATTGTAGGTAATTTCAACATTTTAGAAAAGTTAATCCAATTTGTTAAAAAAATGTTTGTTTGAGCGAGTTGCTGGAATTTAGGGGGAACCCCGTGTTGTCTATTTAATTTATATTTACAAGAATTTAATTTATATTTACAGGAATCACTGATACGTGTTTTGGTGGAACAAGTTTTAAATCTATTGGAAATCTCATAAATGGAGGCAGTTCTTCTGACGGGTAAGATACAGGTCTCCTATCTATTAAAAATGTTATATTAGTTATCAAAGTTATAAGAAGTTTATATCACTTACGTCAGTACTTGCATACCTGAAATCGTTCATTTTCTATAGTCTTACATAATTTATTCCCCCTTGTGACTGAAGGGTTGCCTTTAAGCGTAGAGACATCAGAATTATCACAATTTATCCCTGTGTGATCGTTAAAAGAGGCGCGATAAAATGGGATCAAATTTCTGGGGTTTATGTATCTTTTAGCTGTAGCAGGTGAGGTGGTTTTGCCCCGTGGTGTTGCTTTAAGTTTGTAACAACCATGGTTAGCCTGTATGTTTCGGCGCCATAAGACCAAAATTGTGTTGGCGTGCCAGACAACCGATCAAAACTCAAACGAACATATTTTTTTCATATAGATATGTTTTTAATAATTTTTTATTGTATAAAAAACAACACAAATGAAATAAATTATAAATTTAAGGCAAATAATGTTTGATGATCAAATAGGTTTTAATGTTTTTTCAAGCTCTGTGGAGTCAGTGGACACGAGTCAAGTTGTTAATTCTGAGATTGTATCAGCCATTTTACCGCAGAAATCAGGCGTATCATATACAAACCTAGACCCACCAGTAGTTGTTACTTTCAAGCCAAAAAATGTAAGTAAATAAGTAAAACTAATATATTTAGGACAATAAAATAATTATCAGTATGTTTTAGGATATATATTTTGTAAACAATTATGGAATTAACTTGTTTAATTCACTCCTGTATTGTTTCATAATAATCAATCAGTTAAGTATTGAAATTTGAAGTTTTAATTTCAAAATATATATTTAATATAAGTATAAATATACCTTTATTTTATAACTGTAGATAAAATGAATTCAGCATGAAAGTTACTCATGCATAATTAAGAAATCAGCGATTTAATTGAGCACGTTGCGCACGAGAAAATCGACTGTTCCAGTGTGTTCGTGAAGATATGTTTCCATCGTATAACTATTGTTTACTTTTTTGATGGCATTTCAGCAGATTATTTTTATCGTTAAATTTCCAAGTAATGCTAAGAATTCTTGTGATCCTTTTGATTTTGTTTTATGAAATATACTAATAGATACTTTTCTAGAAATACTGAGCTAGCACTGCGAAAGTTGCTCGCGCTTTGTACACCAGACAAAGGAGGCTATGCAAAAGCGTTTGTAGAATATGTGTGTAACTGTAGTATGTGTGCCATTCGTAAGCTAGTAATGAATAGCGTCCTCGTGGTTTGATACCACCCTTTTGAAATCCAAATTTCATATAATCTACGATATACTAGTACCACAGTCGCGCTTATACCGTAAAGTGGCTGTTTTATGTTTTATTTCGTGTGTTGTATTGTCGTCTTTTTATTCTTTCTGTTTCAGAAAACCTTCACAAAACCAGTATGCGTGTTCTGGGATTTTAATGCTCTGTAAGAATATTACCTTATAAAATGAATAAAATTACAAAGTTATTGTGCCTGCTTCGCAACCCAGGGGTTATGGGTTCGAGCCCTATACGGGCCACGACCATTTTCTCCATATGACATCGGTACTGGTTGGTTTCATGAAGCAGACTCGAAAGTGATTATAATATAAGTTGCAAGAACTTGTTTCGTCATCGAGCTTAAATAAATATGTTTAAACCAAACAAGTAAACTTAGAAAGTCATGAAACAATCTTTATTCCTTTTTTTCCGACAAATATCCGCACAAGCCTCAATTATGAAACGTCCCACTGTTGATTTCAGAGAATTCTTTATGACGTAGTAAAATAAACCATCTACCATGCAAAGTCCGTTAAGTCTGGCGTAGCTCTGGGCTTGTTAGTATAGCCAAATCATTAGTGTGGTTATTGTTTACTGAGGTTTTTTGGTTTTGTGTTACGTCACAACACTGTAAACATCATGTGGGGACTTTATAGCTTTACTGGTGGAGGAAGACCTCAGGTGCCCTTCTATGCATTATTTCAGGTATTTACGGGCACCTGATTAAAACCACCGACGTTCCATAAGCTAGCTGGATAGCTTTCTCATATATAACGAATCCAAACTTCCTGTAGTGATTTGAACCCATCGGTGAGTTAATGTTCTTATTTTACACTCTATTACAGTGGACCTGGACAGAAAGGAGCTTGGTCAACAGATGGATGTTCACTAAAAGAAGAAACTGCGGATAATGTCGTCTGCCAGTGTTCACATTTGACCAATTTCGCAGTTTTAATGAGCCCTTCGGGGGTAGTAAGTATATCCTTTAAATTTTTTTCTGTATTCAAATTTTGATATTCTTTGCTATCGTGCATGATAGTTGCTGATAGTTTCGTTGTCCAGGCTCGAGTAAGCTCCCTTTATATAAATATTTTCTGTTACTTAAATTGTTGGAGTATTTTAAGGAATGTATATTAAAGTATGCTTACTTTTAACACATAAGTTCAAACCATGAAAAATGCATTCATGTATATAAGTTAGTAGTAGTAAAAATCTTTAACAACCATTTCGGACATTGACATTTTCTAAGAAAAGGAATATGATACTTTAGAAGACCACGTAAATTGAGATGTTGTTGCTGTTTTGTTGTATGATAAGGGAAACGTATATATAGGGATGAGGCCATAGCCGATCCATTGTATAGGTATCTTACATTGATCCCTTTTTCTGTTGATTTCAACACAGCTGTAATTTTACCATCCATTTACGAAATTAGGGGCATCCGTGGCCGAGATATAAGGCTTTGACTTTAATTCTTCAAACCATTTTGCCCTCACCGCTGTGGGTTCAAAACCCACCAGGGACTTTGGATTCTTTCATAATAAAGAAGAATCTACCAGTATTCAGCCAGCTTACTGAACTTCGTTCTACTCTCGTGATGATGCGACATAACCTCACTCCAATCATATTTTAGTTATTTTTCGTTCGCATCACTGAAATATTCTCTTGAAAATTGTTATATAAGTTTATTAGTTGAATATTTATTGTTTAAGGCAAGAAAGCATTCTCAGATATTGAGTATCATATCCACTGTTGGGTGTGCAATATCTATGTTTATTGTTTCAGGCTAGCAAGCATTCTCAGATATTAAGTATAATATCAGCTGTTTGGTGTGCAATATCAATGTTTATTGTTTCAGGCAAGCAAACATTCTCAGATATTAAGTATCATATTGGCAGTTTGGTGTGCAATATCTATGTTTATTGTTTAAGGCAAGAAAGCATTCTCAGATATTGAGTATCATATCCACTGTTGGGTGTGCAATATCAATGTTTATTGTTTCAGGATAGCAAACATGCTCAGATATTAAGTATCGTATCAGCTGTTCGGTGTGCAATATCTATGTTTATTGTTTCAGGCAAGCAAACATTCTCAGATATTGAGTATTATATCGGCTGTTGGATGTGCAATATCTATGTTAATTGTTTCAGGATAGCAAGCATTCTCAGATATTGAGTATCATTTCGAATGTTGGATGTGCAATATCTATGTTTATTGTTTCAGGCAAGCAAACATTCTCAGATATTAAGTATCATATCAGCTGTTCGGTGTGCAATATCTATGTTTATTGTTTCAGGCAAGCAAACATTCTCAGATATTGAGTATCATATCAGCTGTTCGGTGTGCAATATCTATGTTAATTGTTTCAGGATAGCAAACATTCTCAGATATTGAGTATTATATTGGCTGTTGGATGTGCAATATCTATGTTAATTGTTTCAGGATAGCAAAAATTCTCAGATATTGAGTATTATATCGGCTGTTGGATGTGCAATATCTATGTTAATTGTTTCAGGATAGCAAACATTCTCAGATATTGAGTATTATATTGGCTGTTGGATGTGCAATATCTATGTTAATTGTTTCAGGATAGCAAAAATTCTCAGATATTGAGTATTATATCGGCTGTTGGATGTGCAATATCTATGTTTATTGTTTCAGGATAGCAAACATTCTCAGATATTGAGTATTATATCGGCTGTTGGATGTGCAATATCTATGTTAATTGTTTCAGGATAGCAAACATTCTCAGATATTGAGTATTATATTGGCTGTTGGATGTGCAATATCTATGTTTATTGCTTCAGGATAGCAAAAATTTTCAGATATTGAGTATCATATTGGCTGTTGGATGTGCAATATCTATGTTTATTGTTTCAGGATAGCAATTAAGTATCATATCGGCTGTTGGGTGTGCAATATCTATGTTTATTGTTTCAGGATAGCAATTAAGTATCATATCCGCTGTTGGGTGTGCAATATCTATGTTTATTGTTTCAGGATAACAAACATTCTCAGATATTTAGTATCATATCGGTGGATGTTGTTCAATATCTATGTTTATTGTTTCAGGCAAGCAAACATTCTCAGATATTAAGTATCATATCGGCTGTTGGGTGTGCAATATCTATGTTTATTGTTTCAGGATAGCAATTAAGTATCATATCCGCTGTTGGGTGTGCAATATCTATGTTTATTGTTTCAGGATAGCAATTAACTATCATATCCGCTGTTGGGTGTGCAATATCTATGTTTATTGTTTCAGGATAGCAATTAAGTATCATATCGGCTATTGGGTGTGCAATATCTATGTTTATTGTTTCAGGATAGCAATTAAGTATCATATCCGCTGTTGGGTGTGCAATATCTATGTTTATTGTTTCAGGATAACAAACATTCTCAGATATTAAGTATCATATCGGTGGATGTTGTTCAATATCTATGTTTATTGTTTCAGGCAAGCAAACATTCTCAGATATTAAGTATCATATCAGCTGTTCGGTGTGCAATATCTATGTTTATTGTTTCAGGATAGCAATTAAGTATCATATCCGCTGTTTGGTGTGCAATATCTATGTTTATTGTTTCAGGATATCAAACATTCTAAGATATTAAGTATCATATCCGCTGTTGGGTGTGCAATATCTATGTTTATTGTTTCAGGCTAGCAAACATTCTAAGATATTAAGTATCATATCCGCTGTTGGGTGTGCAATATCTATGTTTATTGTTTCAGGATAGCAAACATTCTCAGATATTAAGTATCATATCGGCTGTTGGGTGTGCAATATCAATGGTTTGTTTGATTCTAACTATTGTTGCCCACGCAGTTGTTTGGAGGTAGGCTATTTTCATTTGTCACGCAAGTCCTAAAATTAATGGAAAGTTAAATGTATATTTCATTAACAACAAACGAGCAAGTGCTTTGATTATGGTATGATGTGGTGATTGCATGTGGGTCCAAGGTCGCTTAAAATACACACAGTTCCTAAAATACGCAGCGTTTATAATATTATTATTAAACAAAACCCAGTGGTCTTGTATTTATCTTTTATATGATGATATCATTTAATTAATACTGTAGGTAAATCAGATTTTTTTATTGTAATGACAGCCATAAGTGTTGTTTTATAACGCTTAATTCCATTTTTTGATGATTTTACGTATTGTAACAATTCAAATACATGCACACATATTTTATTTTATTCTTTTTAATGACGTCAAAAAGACTAGTCAGAAGTGACCGTGCTATTGTTCTGATGAATCTATGTGTGGCATTATTTGTTGCCCTCGGCATGTTTTTGGCCGGAGTGAATAGAACCGAAAGCAAGGTGAGTTAACGTTTAGACCATATAATCATATACATTGTACATGTATGTTCCGTTTGAGAACTTACTTAATATTGCCTTTATACATGTAGAAAGTGACAGAAAAGTAAAAAAAAAATATAAAAGATAAAATAGTTCCATGTAGATGGGATGAAAGAAACAATGTTCTTTGGTGTTTTTCCCCCTGTATTTAAGTCATTTATTAAGTGTGTTTTTCGTCATTTAAAATTGATGTGTTTTATGACAAAATCAATTTAAAATTCACAAAACCTTTTACTATAGATAAAAAAGTAATATACACACTCTGCCGCTTGATAGTCTTTCCTTTATTCAGCATTCAAAATCTCATCAATACTAAGATAACATATAAAACGCATTTGGTTTCTACAGAAAGCTTGTGCAGCTATTGCAGCAATCATTCAGTATTTATTCCTGGCCGTGTTCTTCTTTATGCTGCTTATCGGCATTGAAATACTCATCTGTGTCGTACACGTGTTTGTGACGAAGTTCCGCATCAAAGTTCTGCTTCCGGTCGCGTGGGGTAAGTGTCGAAATTATTTTCTTGCATAGCAGACTGGCGTTTCCGTGAGTTTTACCCATACCGGAAATTTCATCTGGCATGGGTGTGCCAGATGAGTCGCGTGCCAAACAACAACGTCATTTTAGGGCACTTTATGAATGAACCGCGGTAAAATGACGTCGTTTTAGAAGGGAAATATGTGCTTAGGATGACGTCATTTCGCCGTTGTTATTAAAGTTGTAAGTTCATACGCTATTTTAAGAAAATAGTTAGGGATGAAATGACTTTAATTTCCATGAACATATATCATATTGAGGTAAACCATTTTAAATATGAAATAATATGGCAGAATATGCAAGAAAAAATATCTGACATATGTTTGCGGTTCGGACCTGAATATCAGTCTCTCGGGAACCCGCCCATGGGCGGTAACTCGGCAAGCCTCGTTACCGCCCAATGGGCGGGTCCCCTCGGGACGGATATTCCGGTCCGAACCGCAACATATGACAGATATTATTAATCTCCCTCTATTCATTAGATTTTGTCTAATAATTAAGCTATAAGTTTTATGACCGTAAATTATTTATGTATTTACAATAGTTATTTTTTTAATGGAATTTTATTTATCTATTTATTTTTGTTGGGGTTTACGCTGGTTATGGTTTACGCCGCACAAACATAGTAAAGACAATGTGGCGACTTTCCAGCTTTACTGGTCGAGGAAGATCTTGGGTTCCCTTCCGAGCATTATTTCAGGCACGTGTGCACCTGATTAGAACCACCGGACTTCCGTAAGCCAGCAGGATAGTTTCCTCACATGAAATAATACAAAGTCACTGTCGGGATTCGAACCCACAGAGATGAGAGGCAAGTGATTTGAAGCCACGACCATAACAGTCGGCCACGGACGCCCTTCTTTGCTTTAATTACATAACTATTGACTTCCTGTTATGCAGCAAAAATTATTACTTTAAGTTTGTAACGAATGTTATTAGTGTACGTTTGTAACGAATATTAGTAGTGTACGTTTGTAACGAAGATTATTAGTGTACGTTTGTAACAAATATTATTAGTGTACGTATGTAACGAAGATTGTAAGTGTACGTTTGTAACGAATATTATTAGTGTACGTTTGTAACGAATAATATTAGTGTACGTTAGTAACGAAAATTAGTAGTGTACGTTTGTAACGAAGATTATTAGTGCACGTTTGTAACAAATATTATTAGTGTACGTATGTAACGAAGATTGTAAGTGTACGTTTGTAACGAATATTATTAGTGTACGTTTGTAACGAATAATATTAGTGTACGTTAGTAACGAAAATTATTAGTGTACGTTTGTAACGAAAATTATAAGAGTACCTTTGTAACGAAGATTGTTAGTGTACGTTTGTAACGAAAATTATTAGTATACGTTTGTAACGAAAATTGTTAGTGTTCGTTTGTAATGAACATTATTAGTGTACGTTTGTAACGAAGATTGTTAGTGTTCGTTTGTAATGAACATTATTAGTGTACGTTTGAAACGAAGATTATAAGTGTACATTTGTAACGAAAATTATCAGTGTACGTTTGTAACGAAGATAATTAGTGTATGTTTGTAACGAAAATTATCAGTGTACGTTTGTAACAAAGATTATTAGTGTATGTTTGTAACGTTTATTATTAGTGTACGTCTGTAACGAAGATTGTTAGTGTACGTTTGTAATGAAAATTATTAGTGTACGTTTGTAACGAAGATTGTTAGTGTACGTTTGTAATGAAAATTATTAGTGTACGTTTGTAACGAAAATTATAAGTGTACGTCTGTAACGAAGATTGTTAGTGTACGTTTGTAACGAAGATTGTTAGTGTACGTTTGTAACGAATATTATAAGTGTACGTTTGTAACGAAGAAACTGTACTTTTTATTATCATATCATATAACAGTGGTACCAGCAGTTATTGTTGGAATTTCGTTGGGAGTGACGAAGGCTGAGGGCTACGGGAACGATAAATTGTAAGTACATGTATGTACCTTTTACAAAACAAATCCGTAAGTCACTTTTACAAGGCTGCTAAATAGCTTCTATTGTATTTGTATAATTAACTAGTAAAGAAATATTCTTACCTAATTACTTTTACTATTACTGTTCACTATTTGTCCATCTTACGTCAACAATATTTGTTACGTGGTTCTAAACTTTAGCATAATAAACGTTTTTCCTACACTAGATCTGATTTGAATATTTGGAATAACATTTGTTCTCAAATGTATATTGTTAAATACTTCGAACATTCAGGCTATTTTGTGTATTTAATTAGGCTACGTTGTATATTTAATTAGGCTACGTCGTGTATTTAATTAGGCTACGTTGTATATTTAATTAGGCTACGTTGTGTATTTAATTTGATCCAAGCGCCATCCCCTGCAAATAAAAAATGGGGGTACATGTATTTTATGCATATTTCTTTTCAGTTGTTGGCTTGACATTGAGTCGGGACTCATCTGGTCCTTCATTGGCCCAGCCGCCTTTATAATTTGTGTAAGTACATGTAGATATAACTCAACAAGTTTAAAGGTAGAAAGTTTGTCATAAAATATAAAATACATAAATTGTTATAATTTGTCACTTTGTTTAGATAAGCAAAAGTGGATCAGTGTAGCTATGAAAATCATTTAATTTCGGACCAATTTGTGAAGTTATTTTTTTTAACTTTTAAATTTAACATTTCAATAGGAAAAAAGTATTTCATTTTTACGTAAGGTTTGCTTACTGATTTTTATTGACACGATTATCAAAATTAATGCCGATGCAAATATTCTTCTATTTAACGGTTTTTAAAGTGATTTGAAATGTTCTGTAGGGGCACACACTAGATGTTACTTTGTTAATTTCAGATTAATTTTATAATTATTTTGATTGTCTTCAAAAAGATGGCGTCTTCAGCAGTTCTCAAATCTAAGACTTCGTCGATAAAGATAAAGTAAGTTTACATATAGTTTTTGGTCGGTGTTTATTTTCCCAAGAACAACAAAAATCCATACACGTAAGGGTATATTAACTAGATCGTAACGAAATACTTCCAAAATTATGAGCAAGTAGAATCAGTTTTTTTAATCATCCTATTTGGCGTTTCTTAAAATTACTTAAACAGCATATCATTTTTTATATATAAAACACTTGAAAACACGACTCTGTTTCCAACGTGCGCGAATCCTTTGTTCTTTCATTACATTAAACATTGCCTTCCATTTGCACTTCAAGATTTTTGATTTCTTTTGTCATGATTACTATTTTTCAATATTTTAAAAAATCGAATGCATTCGGCGAACTTCGCCACTTTCCGTAGCATCGTTTTAAAGAGCGGACTCTCTCTAACAGTGACTGGCTACAAAACAACGGATCTCCTGCTTCTCAATCAAAAATTCTGGTCTCGCACTTATTGGCGACGCAATCTTCCGTTTTATCATTAAGTTAATCTTTATTTAAGCGGAAATGACCAAGTTTCCCGTGCATGTGATGATAAGACCAACTATCTTAGAGAATACATGACTTTATATATACTCTTGTTAATACATGTACATTTTTTTTGAGTTATTTTTTTAGAATCTATCATTTTGAGCGACGCATCATAAACTCTCAAAACGTACAATACTTTCATTTTCTACACATTTTGGCAAAAACGGATAAAATGATTAGAAAACGAACTCTTGCGATGCACTTTTGACATAAATATTCAGAATTTTAATTCAAACGTCATGTTGATATTGATATATTATTGTTTTCATTCAAGAATTTGGACAAATGTTGTGTGTAATTTTCTTTAAAGGACAGGTTTAAGAAGTTTGTGTGTATTACTACCGTTGATGGGTCTCACGTGGGTGTTTGGTATACTGTCTGTCAACAGTTCGATGTTCTTTCTACAATATCTTTTCTGTATATTCAATACATTACAGGTATTATTTACTTTATATATATAACGTGTTAAAGTTTGAAGTAAATGTGTTAAGGAATAAAGTAGTGACAGTAAAAATTAACACATTTTTAGAAAAATTCTAAGTTCAAGGGGGAGGGGGGATAATTCTGGAGTAATAGTGCTAGATATGTTGACCTTGTCACATATGATGTTGGCGATGATAAGGAACATATAATTGTGTGGAGATTAAAGTAAATACCCCGAGAGATGAAAAAAGAACAAACTGTAAGCAAAATTAACCACAAATCAAATCTTGACGTGGACTCCGTGAATAATAGGTCAAGCCTCCAGACGCTTGATGTAGTCGAACTAAAAATGTAGTCGATTTTATCATAGAGTCAATTCATAATTTATTCCAAACATCATGTTTTATTTATTCTTTTACTTGGACATGGTAGCTATATTATAATAGTTAAACTAAGAACGATACTGTGTCTATAGCTAGTCATAATCATTGTTAAACATAGAAATTGAATACACTATAGTTTAACTCTTTAGTTTAACCTATCATTGTTAAACGCATAAGTAAAGTATGTGTGTATTTGCGTTTATTTAAACTCGCCACCGGTTGCCCATATGGGCGAGTCCTCCAGAAGAGTATTAGTCATTTTAGATTTTTGGAGGATAGTGCAATTACAGATACAGAAAGATGCCCCCATTCCAGAAGCTTCTCCTGGTTCTTATGCGTGCTAAGTGTTTAAGCACCCATACACGGGACCTCGATTTAAAGTCTCATCCGAAAGACTGATTAGTAATTTTAGTTGGCCAGCCCGGGAATCGAACCCACAATGTCGAGATTACAAGTCTCGCGCTCTAACCGATTGAGCTATGCGGGCTGACATGCATAAGTAAAGATACCAGTTAAACATATATATACAACAGTGGGAGCGGTTACTAAGTGGTTATGGTGTCTCAGCCAAGGGATCATGGGTTCAAGTCTTACTCGGATCACGACAATGGTTTCTCATAATGTCACCAGTACGGGTTAGTTCCAGGGAACAGACTTGAAACTGATTAAACTTGTTTCGCAATCAAGCTAAAATAAAATAATGTTTAAACCAATTATTCAACCATATGTCACCTATCATATTCCATACAATAATCAACCCGTCTTTTATTTTCAGGGTTTATTTATTTTTCTGTTCCACTGTGTTTTCAACCGACAGGTACCATTGTTTAATATTCTCATTTCTTTGTCTTCAGTTTGAACTAAGAGAAAACATACACATTTCGTATTCATTAATAGAGGAAATTTGTAGCTTTTATTAAGAATTCCAAATCAAAACTTCAGTTTTATCTGCGTACGTCTTTTGTTTATGTTTATACAATTTCAATGCATCTTATTAATGTCAATATTAGATCTATTTAAATTATTTTGAATTCTAAAATGTTAAGTATATGTATACTATAGTTATAGGTGTAATAATGTGCAAGTCTAATTTTAGTACATTTGATACGGTACAATATTTAATTAAGATGATGACGATGATGGTGATAATGACGATGATGATGGTGGTGGTGATGATGATGGTGGTGGTAATGATGTTGATGATGTTGGTGGTAATGATAATGATGGTGGTGATGATGATGGAAATGGTGGTGATGATGATGATGATGATATCAATGATAATGATATTGTTGTGCGGCCGAAAAATGATAAAATTCTTTTACAAAAAAAAAAAAATGAGTAAATATGCATGATGATTTTCTTTTAAACACAAATATTTCAAAATATAATCATTTTCTTAAAGGTCATATTTTCAAAACTATGTGTGAAATTTCAAATATGTTAAGTTACAGGTACTTTATGTTTTAACAATAGATGTCAAATTTATAATTATAATGTAACCGGAAGAATAAATGTGGCTTTTCCTCCTTGTCCAATCAATGGTGTTAAAAGTTTTATTCTATTTAAGTGATAATGTCAATTTAGCCGTCTGTACTTAATAAGTTGTTAAACCTTATTACTGATAAAATGTCCAGGTGATTATTGTTGTTATAAATTATATGTTGCTATGCTACATTATTTTGTATTGAAACCCGATTGGTTATTTTGTTATTTAAGAAACAAAGATGTTAAAATTTTATTGGTCAGTTTAACACGAAACCATTTTTAGAAATATTGTAAAGATAGAATAATCGAACAGTTAGATTTTGGATTTCCAATTAATAACATTGTGGCTCTCCACTAGAAATATTTGTTACTGCTTTTTAATATCTACATTGTATTTGTTAACGTCAGGATAACCTGTGTATATTTTATATATTATTAATGTTTGTGGTATTCCACTGAGAAAAGAAACAATAAATAATAAAACGGAACATTGTGTTGAGATTCAATCCACCTTCAGTAGAACTACAAAATCAGCGCACAATACTTGGTGGGAATCAGTGTCTTTCCCAACCTCTCAATTTAGCAAGCGAGACTACGAATTCAACTTCCCCAAGAAAAACAACAATGAGTATCATAAATGGAATACCATTTAGAAGTGAAAAATCATGTGGACCATGTGGACATAATCATTATCACAGACAGGAGAAGTGTTGTGCGAAAATGGCAAGATGTAACAAATGCAAGAGAATTGGACATTTTGCACGAGTTTGCCGACATCAAGCAGTCAAGTCAAGTCTATCTAAACAACGGGATCAAGAACGAATGACAACTTTTATTAGACGCAAGACAGCAGAATGCACATTACCATTCTACAATGAAAACGATGCTTTCTTTCAGAACAACCAAACAAACAACTCTGTAAGTCATGTTTCAAAAGCAGAATTTCAAAAGTTGAAATCTTTAACTCATTCAATGAATAAAACAATTAACGGTTTAAAATCAGAAAATGTGGCTCTCAATTTGAAAAATCAAAGACTCAAGGACTTTACCGAAAACCTGCAGAATGAGATTTCCCTCAAGAAATCAGAAATTTGTCATCTTCAAGAAACATTGGATATTACAAAGAAACTCGCTAGAAGAAAAATTTAGGGCTGACGCGTCAAAACTAGAAAAAATGGACAAACTCATATTAGAATTTAAGAAAATACATGACGATTATGAAGAACTGAGACTTGAATACAATCGGAACACTTACGAAGCAATGGTGACAGAATCAATGAAAAACGACCAAATAGATGAACTTAAAAATAAAAATGAAAGCTTGAGAAATGAGATCGCTCAGCTGACAGACAAAACGAAAGATTTATGTCGCAGAAGAGTAACTGAAAATGAAAACCAACAACACGATCGTTATAACACATGCGAAACCGGGTTCCAACATAGGGGAGGCAATTGTCACCGCGGAAGACAGCAAGGACATAGAGGGCAATACAGCAGAAATAAACGTCATTAGGGGTGTATGGTTTACAATAAGACAGCAGTTAGGATATATATATTATTAGTGGATGGTACTTACGCTTTTCAGCAAAATCGGTGCTTTATGTTCACAATATATTTCTGTAACTGAATGTCTTACGTAAACAGTATTTTAATGATATTTATTTTTGTTATATACATATTTTAATGCTCCATTTCACAGGAGTGAAATAGTCTTAAAGGAGGGAGAAGTGTTGTGCGGCCGAAAAATGATAAAATTCTTTTACAAAAAAAAATGAGTAAATATGCATGATGATTTTCTTTTAAACACAAATATTTCAAAATATAATCATTTTCTTAAAGGTCATATTTTCAAAACTATGTGTGAAATTTCAAATATGTTAAGTTACAGGTACTTTATGTTTTAACAATAGATGTCAAATTTATAATTATAATGTAACCGGAAGAATAAATGTGGCTTTTCCTCCTTGTCCAATCAATGGTGTTAAAAGTTTTATTCTATTTAAGTGATAATGTCAATTTAGCCGTCTGTACTTAATAAGTTGTTAAACCTTATTACTGATAAAATGTCCAGGTGATGATTGTTGTTATAAATTATATGTTGCTATGCTACATTATTTTGTATTGAAACCCGATTGGTTATTTTGTTATTTAAGAAACAAAGATGTTAAAATTTTATTGGTCAGTTTAACACGAAACCATTTTTAGAAATATTGTAAAGATAGAATAATCGAACAGTTAGATTTTGGATTTCCAATTAATAACATTGTGGCTCTCCACTAGAAATATTTGTTACTGCTTTTTAATATCTACATTGTATTTGTTAACGTCAGGATAACCTGTGTATATTTTATATATTATTAATGTTTGTGGTATTCCACTGAGAAAAGAAACAATAAATAATAAAACGGAACATTGTGTTGAGATTCAATCCACCTTCAGTAGAACTACAAAATCAGCGCATAATACTATCAACAATAAATACGATCATGATGATGATGATTACTTTTATAAGCTTCTTTGTTGCGTATTCTTTCAGGAAATAAAGTGTATACATGTATCTGATAATCTGAAATATGATGGATTTGATGTCTTCATCAAAACTGGTGTAAATTCTCGAAATTTAATGTCCATTTTATGTTATATATGTACATAACATCGCTGCATGCCTTTAAATTACAGATCAGAGAGGCAATAAAACGTAGACAAGAACGTAAAAAGAGCCTGCAGACATTAAGCTCTGATCTCAGGAAACAGTCCCGAAGTTTTTCAAAGGTTTGTTTAGTTTTATTTTACCATGTAGAATATGAATAATAATATCAATTTCTGTTTCCAAGAAAGACTAAATGTACTTAGGGAGATCGATAAAATGAATTGACATAAACAAGCCCTATGACAACAGGTTAATGTGTAAATTCGACTTACATGCCCTTCGTTGAAACATTGCAAATAGCTTAGTATTTTCAGAGCACGTATGTTAAATGCTTATTTTTTTTTCAATTCAAGGATGAAAAACGTCGCAAATCAGGAGACAGGCGCACCTCAGATATAGTGAGTCTTTTTATTTTAAAAAAAAATAGATAGAAATAAAACCTAAAAAGAAATTTGCTCTTGTATATCTTGTACGATTTCTTTATTTTTATAATTTGTTCTTTATATTTCAAACATCAATAGAATATAAAGTTGCATTGATGCTAGAAACATCTATATAACAATTATATCGGTAATCAAACCGAGGGAGTAAAATTTAATGAATGCCTATTTATCATCAAAGGAATATAGCTGTTAGATTACACTCCCTCGCATTAAGAGTAAAGGTAATGTGATTGTTCATAAATGTCCCCCAAAGAAAATATAACCAATGGGGTACTCGACAAGCTTCGTTACTGTTTCAATTCATTTGTACCCATAAACCACAACAAATGGCTAATATAATGACTTTTAAATTAGGGTAAGAAATGTGTTTTGTCTAATTCTTCTGATCTTCCAAAAAACTATTGAAATTTGGATATTGCTGTTTACATTAACAGAAACAAAACGGCATTGGCAACAAAGCGTTCACTGGAAAAGATGAGCGGGAACTCAGTAAGGACTATGATGCAGACGACTGGGACAAAGTTGAGCGAAAAATGTATCATAAAAATATAAGGCGTGGTTCAAAACTGTGGCGGTAGTTAAAATAAACATTGTACCTCTCAATGTAGGTGAGAAAACGCCAACGTTGCAATAATGTTTTGTAAAATATTTGCCTTGAGAATGCAAATATGGCTCCAAAGTGAAACTAGTCTGTGTGTATATATAGATGGCAAGTTCTAAAGAATAGTTTCGCCTAAAAACATGGATATAAGATTATCTAAAGGGTCATAGCTCTAACTTGCATTGTGTTTAACAGTTTGCTTTTTTTGTTAAAAAAACTGTAATGGACGGGTATGTTATTCTTCCTTTCGAGTTAACATTTATGGACAAATTTATTTTTTTATGTAAGATTTTCTTAAATCTTATGTACCAATCATTCATGTGAAACAATCACGGCGTTTTTTGAGTGTTCACTTAGACTTGAACAATGTTGAAGAATGTTTTACAACATGTAGTCTAGGATAAAGATGCTGGAAGAAAATCGGACTTTTATTTTCCATGCAAATAAACTATTGTATACTGTATGGAGGTATTTTGTAAACTTAACAGGACAGGTTTTTTTTTTAATTTTGAATGCAAGACTTTATTAATCTAGCATCCAAACTGGTGCTATTTTAGCGTATAACTTAAGTCTTATCTTTTTTAAGACATCCATTACTTAAATCAGTTTTTATTATGGTAAAATTGAAAACAAGAAACTTGTTTATGGTATCAAATATTTTATTTCCATTTCAACTTAGTGCATTGTGTATACTATAAGTTTGTACAACACAAATGCATATTTTTTCAATTGTTACATGTACAAAAAAAGATCTTTATTTTTCAATATATATATATTAATTTTGTATATGAAACACATATCTATTATGTATTGATCAAGTTGATATAAACATGCATATATCATATATCAATATACAACATTTCATATATCATGCATCGATATAAAACATGTACATGATGTATATATCATGTATCAGTATAAAACATTTATATATCATGCATCGATATAAAAACCTGCGTATGTCATGTATCGATATAAACACATGTAAATATCAAGTATCGACATATAATAACATGTATATATCAAGTATCGATATATAACATGTATATATCAAGTATTGATATATAATAACATGTATATATATCATGTATCGATTTAAAACCTGTATATATCAAGTATTGATACAAAACATGCATATATCTTGAATCAATATGAAAAACGTGCATATAATGAAACAAGATTAAAACATTTACACTACCATGTGCTTATCACGTATCTACATAATACACTTGCATAAATTATATCAATTATGCTTTATTGCATCAGTATTACGCATTTGCAATACTATGGTAATATTTATAACTTCATCCTTTGTTTATCAAGTATTAATTATTTCAAAACATGTTCATGTATCCAAAAATACATGTTCATATCCTGATTAAAAAAATGAATCAATGTAAAACATACTCTCTTTGATGAAATAATGTTAAACATCATAGATACGATGTTAATGTAAACTTTCTTTTACATTGAATCAATGTAAAATATCACTCCAACTCTCTATGATGAATCAATGTTATACATCATAGATACACTGTTCATTGAATCAATGTAAAACAAATGCAGTCTCCAATGTTGTTAGTATACATCATTGTTACGATGTTAATGTAAATTTATTTTTTTTTACATTGAATCAATGTAAACATTCACCATGTAAAATCAATGGCATATAAGATACAAATGTATACCTAAATATATATATATATTCATAAACAATTTGATTTTCTACTGCAAATGTTATTTGATTATTGTATGATGTTATTAAGTTACTATGTGTAGATACATAATAAATATGAAATATTACAATACATATTATTTATAACAAGATCAATATTTTGATCAACTGTAAGATGTTCATATCTTGCAAAAATAACAATTAATTTATTCTTAAACTTTCATAAACATGCTATTTCAAGTCCAGTTTTATCAAGTTAATATTAGATATTTAATTTATGACGATAAGCAATGGAGAAATTTTTTTAAAAAAATTATCTTGAGCCTAAAATCTTTGTGAGTAGTGGGTGGTGGGGGGTGGGGCTATGGTTTAAATTGACCACATCTGGAGTCAAAGACAGAAAACAAGTTTTATACAGTGAGATTAACCCGTAACCTACTGGATACTTAAAAGTGGTTACCCCTGGCAACAAGTATAGAATCAGGTTCTATACAGCTATTAGTAGCTCAGATACATTTTGTATTAAACCACAAGAAATCAGAGGTAAAACTCCAAGAATTGTGAGGTAAATCACTATAAACAAGCCGCAAAAGGCATACCAACAATATTTATATGCTTAATGGAAAGTTGCTTCATATGAATAAACAAAGGTTTCAGCAACGTTGACCACTTGGCAATGTAAGTTTTCTCCTATATAATATTAACCAACGACCTCATAAGTGCATCTTGTGTTTTAAATATAATTTGGCTATCTAAATAATTCAAAATTTAAGAAATTGAATAAAAAAATACTTGACAATTATTACAAAAATACATCTATAATTATATGTAGTATTCATCATCATCATCGCCATCATCATCTTCATCATATAAAACAACATCAATTACATGCTTTTGTTGCATATAAGAAACGTTTACATACAAAGAAAATATTACATATAATAAAGTCATATTAAATTTAGTGTAAATAACAGGCTAAAAATATTCTTTTCATAAACGTACCAACAAACAAAAAATAAATGGCATAGTAAAAATTTATACGTATTAATATTTACACAAGTTACATAGTTTATATATCTAATCATACATAATCACCGTAACGTTCAAAGTAATAATCCTATATTGGACAATTAAGTGTGTTTAAATGTTTCCATGTAACGCCAATAACGGCATAAGTATCCGAATGAATTCCACTTAACGCGCTGCAAGCGTTTTCCAACGTCAAACCTTAACAATATTAAGTCGAATTTCCATAATATAATTTGTATACAGAGTAAAAAGGTTATGAAGCATTAAACTATTACAAAACGGGTAAATACACCATATTACACTCCCCAGATGGCTCGTCCAATATTATTTCGCCAGCTGAGTACTCATCAAAATATATTTCCATATTGTACACATAAATGTTAAGTACCCTATAAATACATAATTTATTCCGGTATTTAAGATGTTGGAAAGCAACGGATCTAGTGTACAAGCATTAATTTAACTCCAAAAAAGCCCATTAATTTAACCAACAGTGAGTGAGTATGTACATGTACACAAACATTCTGGTATCGAGAGAGTTACCCTTAAAACAATCAAATACTATTAACAAAATAAATGAGCCGTGTCATTACAAAACCAACATAATGGTTTTGCGACCAGCATGGATCCAGACCAGCCTGCGCATCCGCGCAGTCTGATCAGGATCCATGCTCTTCGCTATCAGTTTCTCTACTTGTAATAGGGTTTGTAAGCGAACAGCATGGATCCTGATCAGACTGCGGTCTGGATCCATGCTGTTCGCAAAACCATTATATTGGTTTTGTCGTGACGCGGCTCAAATGGTATCACTACAGTTACATCTTAAAAACTAATCACAATTACATCTTTTTACAAACAATCCGTCACATTTTCTAAATCAGCATATACTATGTACAAATACCGTATGAACGCCAAATATTTGCATTTGAAAACCAAAGATGCATTCCGCGATCCAAAAACATTTTAACCAACGATGATTAATGTGAAATAGTCAGTTTTCTCAAAAAAGATTAGTACACATACTGTACTTTTGTATGGTACATTCATCTCCGAAAACATGCATAAACCAATGATGATCATATACAGTAAGAAACATCTCCAAAGACAATTAAAAACAATTATAAGTGTACAAATATTCTATGATCTCAACCCCCCCCCCCCCCCCCCCGAAAAAAAATACCCCGAAAAACCCACACACGCACGCGTACGCACACACAACAACATCAACAAATAAACAAAAAAATATACAAGAATGAGTATGTACAAACAAAATGTAACCTCAAAACAGAAATTAAACGGTGATTATGCACATGGATTATCTACAGTAACAAATATAAACCAATGTTAACTACTTATATGTACAAATATTCAATTATTTCCAAAAGTAACAACAAAAATAACAACAGAATTGATTATGTACAAACATAATGAAGTCCCACAGACATTGTAAGGAAAAGACATTGTCTGTTATCTAGAAAAAAATCATCCTATAATCATCAATGAGGATGCAAAACGTTATCACACAAATGTATCCTGCTAAACAACACATGTTCTGTAATATGGCCTTATCAACATGCCAATGTTTAAACGTTTAATTAAATATGTCACATGCCAGAAAAATAAGAACCAATATATCAAGTACCATTTTCATATGGTCATAATCACATAAATGCACAAAGAAATATTCAAAATGAAGGCACATCACCTTACTTTTAGAAGGAGATTACAAATCAACAAGTGAAAACTTTAGGTTTGACCAAGTTGAACCTGGTTAATTTCTAAATAAAGAAATATGTTTAACAATACGGTGTAGAAATATGTACTTGCAGTTGGTACATTAATTGTATTGTATAACTATCAATCATCAAACTGTTGTAGAAAAAAAGAAAAGATATATACATGTACAGGTACAAAATATATATATATATATACATACAAAAACATAAAAGTCTCAGGCAATACAACCCAAAATGTAAAATATTCTTCATTATTAGAAACAAACAAATATACAAAAAAAAAATATACATCTTAGCATGTTCACTGACATCCCTAAAAGCCATCATATTGTATACCAGGGCTGTCCAAAGCAACGTATGAAAACAAAATACGCAGCGGGCGTTTTGAAAATGAAAATATTTAATATGCCAATGCTGAGTGTACATGCAGAAAAACCCCCAGCACAATGCCATTTCATTTTGAGAACATAAAATAACTTATAACCTGGTAACACAATGCACTTTGGCAAAATTATTTTAGGCTTGGACTTATATTTTTGTTTTGCAGTGATAGTCTATAAGTTTGTGGGTCAGCCCTCATACATGCATTTTATTATATGAATATATATATAACATAAAAAAAAACAAAGCGAAAAAACATAAAAAACAATGTATTTACTAAAAACAAATCATGTTCTTATACTATGAACAAAAAAGTCTTGCATTTTAAAACAGGCATCCATTGTTGTATGTTTTTAATTCCATATGTACATCAAATAATTTTTTAAAAACTACTTACAATTTTAAATATTACAAAAAAAATACATTTTATAATTAGCCAGTCAACGCATACATCTTATCACTTCAACTCCATATTCAATAACAATTCAGCAAACACCATTTATATTATTTGTGTACATTCTGTAACTATTTATGTCATTAATTTGTATTTACAACTCAACTTATAATAAGGTAGTCATTTTCTTTAACTATACACTCATACAAACAAAATATAATGATACAAACGGAGTGTACTTATACAAACAAAATTGATCAAATGAACATTCCAATATGCACACAATGCACAACTTAATTCAACAAATTTCGACATGCGTACATATAATTCATTCATTCGAAAACCAACATACAATATTTACACCAGAAATATGTAATCATATGTCAGCATAATATACAAATGTCACTCATAAACAAACATACAATATGTACACATTATGTTTACTCCATGTACTATTCTTCAATAATCAAATTGTTTGTAAACACTTTATCTTTTCTTAACCCAACATGCTATATGCCCATGTTCACCTATAGCTATATACAACTATGTTGTTTTCACGCGGTAATTTGAAAGAATAAACAGTATGTGAACTATGTAAAAATATTCCATACATTAAAACACTTTATGTGATGATTTTAGTGTAACATTCCTTTTTAAAGTATCTTTCAATATGTACACTAATTCGACAACACACCTGCAACTTAAGTATTTTTCAAAATGTACACAAATTCGACAATACACTTGACTTTGTATTAACGTATCTTTCAATATGTACACAAATTCGACAAATGTATCTTTCAATATGTACACTAATTCGACAATACACATATACTTGGTATTGACGTATCTTTCAGTACATACACAAATTCGACAATACAAAGCTACTTCCAATGAAATTACTTGATTCTACATTGCTGAATGGCGACACTAATAGTAAGCATGAATCAGATGCACTAACTGACTTCAACATTCATTTCAACGCATATTTCAACAGGTATCACATTCTTTTCAGAGCAAAACTGAAGAATTGTTATTCTAAAAAATAAAATATTTTGGATTCCTGTCTAATGTTTGTTAATGAAGCAAGAAAGCATTATATGAAAAAAATTATATATATCAGATTTCTGATTATTTGATATGTTTATCTTTCACTGCGTTAATTATTTCTCTAGAAATACTCATAACTTCTTCAGCGGTCTCTCTTGTGTATGCATCTGCTGGTATCTGCTGACCACTATACATATCTGGGTATCTCATTTTAGAATGATCTCCGGCTTTAGCTGATAATCTCTGTGCCATCACACTGATGCTAGCGTCGAGCCCTTAAAGAAATATAAACTCGTTTATTTTTTGAATTTTTCTTCTTTTCCGTTTTTAAATTGTGCTATACATGCTTTTTAATGAAGAGTTTACGGACGATGGACACCACCACGATTTATTTACTTGCTTATATCAAAGGTATTCTGGAATTTTAGATGGATTATGCAATCTTGGCGTTTTTATAATGAAATTAAATGGTCAATTAAAAGTGCATTCAGAAGACGGCCAATTTACGATTATTATATACATGTAGATTCTAGAATCATGCGGAATGTTTATTATGTATAAGTATTTGATTAATAAAGGTTAAGATCTCTATATTTTTACGAAAGTTAAATAAAGTAAAATATCGTTAAGTCGTAATAACGCTAAAAAGGGTTATAGCGCGAAAACAAAATGCATAATTACACGAAACAAAAGGCATAGTAACGTGAATAAATGCCCTTTACTCGTGTTATAACTTCTTTATTTGCGTTTTTACGCCTTTGTTCGTGTTATTATAATAATCATAGAATAGCATTAACTAGACTACGGTGCTCTGCTCATAAACTTGCAATAGAAGAGGGTCGTTATCGAAACATTAGTAGGATGGAAAGGAAATGTATATTTTGTAACATGAATGTCATAGAAGACGAGTATCGTTTTGTTCTTGTCTGTCCACAATATCGTACTATAAGAAATCAATGTCTCCCAAAATATTATTGCCATTGGCCAACTATACAGAAATTTCAAGCACTGTTAACTTGCAGTCAATCTGGTGTGTTATGTAAACTTGCTAAATATGTTTTTCTGGCTGATAATAAACGTACTAGTCTTATTGATCAGTAGTATTGTAATTGATGTAGAAACATAGGTGACGTAATCATAAAATAATGTTGCAGTAATGTTTGTTTCATACATACAATTGTTGCTACAATTTTTTAATGTTATGCACAAAAGTATAAGGGAGGTTACTCCTTTAATATGATGCATAAATGGAACCAGATTGTCTCCCTTTTGTTTTAGCCTTAGATCTATATGTCATTAAGTATAACGTTCTTATTGTTATTTTATTTTTTGATACTTTACAGTAACTTTGTTAAGTAGCATAGCTTTAACTAAAAATATAAACCAGTATTTGAACACACAGGCTTAAGAAGGTGGCTGAAATGATAATTTTAAAGAATAAGTTTAAGTGAATATCCAAATGTGTATGCATATTTCACAGGCTTAATATCCTCTTACTGGCCTATCGAGAGTCGGTGTGTACAAATATTGGTATACATACTTAATTTTACATAGTGTAATGTGAATTGATTATGTATGTTTATATATCACAGGCTTAATATCCTCTTACTGGCCTATCGAGAGTCGGTGTGTACAAATATTGGTATACATACTTAATTTTACATAGTGTAATGTGAATTGATTATGTATGTTTATATATCACAGGCTTAATATCCTCTTACTGGCCTATCGAGAGTCGGTGTGTACAAATATTGGTATACATACTTAATTTTACATAGTGTAATGTGAATTGATTATGTATGTATATATATCACAGGCTTAATATCCTCTTACTGGCCTATCGAGAGTCGGTGTGTACAAATATTGGTATACATACTTAATTTTACATAGTGTAATGTGAATTGATTATGTATGTTTATATATCACAGGCTTAATATCCTCTTACTGGCCTATCGAGAGTCGGTGTGTACAAATATTGGTATACATACTTAATTTTACATAGTGTAATGTGAATTGATTATGTATGTATATATATTACCATGCTCTTCTCAAATATTGTAACCGCCGTCACCATGATAAATGGCGACGAACATATAATGTTCATATGCTGAATAAAGAATTGAATTGAATTGAATTACGTCTATATTCGCGTTACTACGCCTTTTATTTCGTGTTATAACACCTTTATTCTAATTATTACGCCTTTCCAATATTTTAATAATTTAACTTTTAGAATGAAAAACTAGAGTAAGTATTTATCACACGACATTGTTTGTTTTCAGTTTATTTGATATTTTTGATTTGTTGAAGTCACACCGACACTAACAAGGCAATATTATTGCCTTGTTAGTGTCGGTGTGACTTCAACAAATCAAAAACATTATATGGCTACTTCACAGCTTAATTGGTGAAACGATCAGACACCCGAGTAACCAATAGGTATTTAACTAGCTAGATGCTTCATCACATGAAAAATTCCAAAGTCCCGGGCGGGATTGGCAGGATTATCACTGTCACGGAGGTCGTTAACCATTACGTATTTCTTTATAAAACACACAAATACTTCAACATTTTCGACCAAAAGCGCGCATAAAGCATGTTTGTATAATAAATTTCATGACTTTTAGTCATCTGATAAAATTAATTTCACGTTTGTTGTCATATCATGTACAAAACTATAAGTCGTCAAAGAAAATAAAGCTCGACTAGACTTTATAACAATTCCTTGCACTTAAATACTAAACATATATATATAAAATATATATGACAAATCATTAGATATCAAATATGTGTTACCTGATGCTAAAGCAGTTAGATTGTGACTGTATTTTATTCTTCGTATTTTGTTTGCATTTTTCGCATACCAAGCAGCTTTCAAAGATTTTTCAGCAGCCTGTTAAAAGGAAATCACATACAATTGACATTTAGGAAAGAATAAAAAGGCTTTTGTCAATAAACAAATAAAAACATTGTGATGATTTAATATGCTCATAAGCAGTTAACGAAGAAATACAATTTCATTCATTTTTATCTTAATTGTTTTAAAAAGAATTTTAAATTTATACCTGATGAGCTTTATAGCATATCCAATTATTAGATTGACCGTTGGCGTGTTGAAATGACAATTCTGCGTTACATATGTCTGACTCCGCTTGTCTAATCCAGCGACGAGCCTCAGAATCCCAGTGATACGGTTCTTCCTCAGTTTCATTAGTCCCCCTAGAGAACGTGAAATCATCAAAGTTATTGAAAGGTCTCTTATATCTTGTTTTATTTTTCCAACCTCTACGATATCTACTCCAATATCTATTAGACCATGAAGTCCACTGTCCCGATGAACTGCTGCCACCAGAAGACCATTGAGAATCAGCACTGTCCTCATCGTCATCATCAATCAATTCCTGTCCCTTTTCAAGACGAGAAAGACATTGCTGTATATATTGAAATACTTTTGTGCAAATATTTTCATTACCGTGATTTTTATCTGGATGCCACCTGAGAAGCAGCCTTTTTATAATTCGTCGTCTTTCTGTTCCTTCTTTTGACCATGCTTCTTGTAGAATATTTCTTACTTCTTTTCTTGCATCTTTTAATGATACGTTTGGCTGTGACCTTAAATTATCTTTGCCGTCGTATACCGTAATTTCTGTACTTTTCACAGCCCTATTACGCACAAACTTGAATAGTTGATACGCCTTTACAATACGAGGAATTTCTGTTCCGTCATTAATTTCATATTCTTGAAGTAGGGGACACGTACTGTCTTGGTGCTCTAATTTTCTATTTATGTGAACAAAAATGTATGTTGCATCACATTCTTCTTCTGTTTCTTCTTTGTCTTGATCTTCATTAAGATCAGGATCTTCCACTTCAAATGCGATGAACTTGTACTCGTAATCTTGAATAATGCCATAATCATTATCTAGAAAGTCGTGCAAATACTTTGGAACAAATGTTCCGGGAACAGGATAAGTAGGAGATTCCTTTATTTCAATTGAAATATCGTATTCGTCAATTTTCTCTTTACTTAGAAAGTTTTCTATATCTTCAGGGGAGTGTTTCAATCCAATCATGTCCATTAAAATCATCATGCTTTCATCTTTCAGACACTTGTTGACTACACTGTTTAGGTGCAAAGTTAATTCTCGAGTTAGAGTTTGGAAGCACTTTTGATCAGACGAGTCAAAGTAAACACAAACTTCTTCATTCTTGCTTTTCTCCAAATGAACGGATCTCGTATTTTCCGTGTTTCTTATCATCGTTTCGTCACCTATTTCCCCATCATTGTTTATACAAGCCAGGTACAAATTCGTTTTGATTCCAGAGGCATGCTTGAAAGTTATTTCCCCTATTTTTGAAGCTAATCGGGCTTCTTCATCTGTATTCCATTTCATATTATTTGACCTAATAACGTGTCGGGTTAATCGGATAAATCCTTTGATGAAATAAGGACTGTGTATGAATTGTTCTAATTCGTTTGCTACCTGTACGTCTTTATTCACGATTCCTTCCAAACAAACTCTTTCTTTAATCAAATCAGTTAATAAATGCGGCCTCCATTTTGGTGGAAGTCTTTTTAGGCTATCAATACAGTCTTCCACTTTTACGTTGGTAGGAAGCCTTTCAATTGGGAAAAGGAACTTGATTTGTTTGGAAGAAATGTTTGAAAGCTGGCATTCATAATGTTTGTTATTAGCCAGTACCATCATATTTGAGGGCTCAAGGGTCTCATCCTTGCAAAGGAGAATCAACTGACCATTTTGAAAAGGTATGTCTTCATTTTGCTGGATCAGGTATTTGAAAAAAGCGCCCATTGCCTTTTGACTATCAGCATAATCTTTAGGCAATAGTGGTTTGGATATGCCACATTCACTTGCAATGTCGTTTAAAACTTTTGAAAATACATCAGCATCAAGCTCGTTGTGTGCACCTAAAAACGAAAATAAATCATGGTATTTTGCAAGTTCATTTGGACATTTATTTAGGTATGGTGGTATCACTTCTTCCTCTTTACATACATTTACTACTCTCTTTGCTAGATGTATACATCTATATTGTTGTGAAAATATAATCGGCACATTTTCAATAGTCTTCACTAGCTCTGAAGTAAGAGCACAACTTGTCATGTATTCCTGTAATTGTTGATAAATAGATTCCATGACTGACAATAGTGTTGACGTGTCCAGTCTTGATGAAATGCCTCGCTTGTCACTTAGATTCCTGCCAACATTTATACAGTGTTGAATCAGTTTATCAGACGATGGGCGTTTACAAATACGTAATTTGTTAGTGAATTTATCTGCAAAATTTTTGGTCGTTGGATCAGCTTTCGGCGGCAGAATGTTTAATATCGTCCATGATATATTTTTAGACGTATTCAAGACAGCTCCTTCGAAACATATAAGCTTTGTGATATTGAACTGCTCGTGAATAGCCAACATATTTTCGTCTACAACAAAGGGTGTAACAAAACGAATAGTTGCGAGCTCGTTGAACTCATTTTCGTCAAAAAAGCTTTTCTTCATATGCATCAGATTGGTCAACACACTTTCCGACATGGTAACAGTCATTCTTGGATTAATCTTCTCGCTTTTCTCCACATGCTTTGCAAATCTTAGGAAAAGGGGAAGTGTCATGCTTTTCTGTAAGCCAATGAGTTCAAACATCTTCATTATATTTTCGTTTGATTTAAAACTCTCAGGCACAAGTTCAGATTCGTCACACATTAGCTTAAAAATAGGTTTTGATGGATCAAATAATTTAGAAACAAGTACTCGCTTTCTATCTGTTGTTTCAACAAATTCTGCATTTTGTAGCAAAGATAGAATGTCTATAAAACGATCTGGATTAGAAACTATATGTGTGCTTAAAAACTCTATATGTTTGTAAAATTCGTCTCTTTCAAGACAATCCTGATACGGAATGATATACTGTTCATACAAATCTTCCCATGACTTTTCATTTATTTGCAGGCGTTTGAACAGCTGTGGATAACCAGTATCCTTTAAAAGAACCAAACTATCAGCTCGTGCACTTAGTTTCTGCAAGCCATCGCTTGGAATATTCTTGTCCAAAATGATCCTTTCACGAAACTTGGAAAGAGGAACTAATTCTCCAGTATAGGTCTCGAAAAGAGGCAATTCTTGTAATATGTAAATGTCGCTGCCTATAGATCCGCAAGTATAATTGAAATACTCAAGTATTTTTCTTGCGTGATCAGTATTCATGCAAGATCCCTCAAGTTTTTTCATATTTATGAGTAGACATTTGGCAACGTCTTTTGGATTTTGTTGGTTGGGAATCAAATCCATCAATAATGTAAGTATTTCAGACTGGTCATTATGACCTTGTAAGAAATAAGTATTGTCAACTTGTTGAATATCCAACTTTGAAAATATTTCCATAAGAAGAGGATTACTTCTAAAACTATCAACATGTATCAATCTTTTCAAGTCACAATACGGAACAAGAAAAGTATCAGAATGTTCAAAGGATGGTATAAGTGGCAAGGACTGGACAAGCTGCAACTGACTTTTGAGAAAATTTATCTTTTCTCCTAGTCTAGAACGTTGAAATATATGCTTGAAAAAGTGCCAAAATAATTTAATCCATTCAACACTTGGCCTTTCGTGTTTCCAAACAACAGATTGTTGTGTTGTATTGATTATCCCTGTTTCTTGTACAAGAGAGGCAAATTCGTGCATTCCAAATGGTTGTAACGACCATATACGATTTAATTCCGACTTGAATGTAAAACACAGCAAAAAGGCGATCGGTCCAGATAGAAAAACATGATTTTTTGTTGGAAAAAGGTCACTAAATCGACCAGACCTTTCATTTAATATGTAAAACCTGTGATTCTCCGGCAGGGTATGAACAATATTATCATGTGTAATCATTAATGGAATTTTTGGTAGCTTTTCAAATACATACTCCTTGTTCTTCAAACAAAACTCTAAAATAATTGCTGCATCTTTGATAGAGATCAACACGGAGTTTTTTACATCTATTTCGGTTTCTATCTTGCATTTATCAGCTGCGGTGTCATTGAAAGAACAAAGAAAATCAACTACAATGGCAGGATTGATGCAGTCTATCTCTATTCCAGACTGGCGCATGGACATTTGCATCTTGTCTGTGATAAAAACAATCTTCATTCCTATGCGTCTCAGTATATTATTGAAATCAGACTTAGTATTATCTTCTTCATAAATGTCTGATTCCGGCATAGCATAAGATGTAAATTGATGACCAACATCCTTATATGGTGTCCATGCTAGTTCAGTTTCTTTCATCACATTTTTAGAATACCCATATCTTGTATACGTAGTAGCTAGAGATGGCAGAAAGGGTATGTGGTTCAAGACAAGCTCCTTGTACACACTCCGCATTAGATGTTCCCAGTAATCACCTTTTGCGTTGCATGGGAAAAGAGACTGGTACTTAAATGTTAAATATGTCACTGTCGAAGATAATTGTCTTTTCCCTGTAATGTCATAAAACATCTTTCCTTTGATGTACTCAAGCATTTTGACATAAGCGGGTGCAATAACGGATTCAATCAAAACATTGTTCCATAATGTACGATAACATTTGTCTGTCATATCCGATTTCCATAAGGTTCGTCTTGATTCGTGATCAAGCGAAAAATATCCCTGTATATGAACTGGCAAGTTAGTTTCTATTGGAAGTGGTAAGAAACAAAATGCTTTGCAGCTCTTTTTGCTATCAAAGTCCCATAAGGAACTATTGTGTCCCGTGAATAATGCAACGCCGCCATAAGGCGCCAGGCCAATTTTGTCATTAAGAAATGATTGTCTTAGTAAATCTGGCAATGTCTGGTGATTCTTGAAACCGAGCGATTGAACAATTATATATTTTTTCTCATTAGTATGCCCCTTTTTATATTCTGAAGCAGTTAGCTGATACAAGTATAAATGTTGTTTTGATGTTAAAACTATTTTTTTGTCGGTCTTCATATCTCTGCACATATTTGAATAATGAAGCATAGCTTTATTCTTTTGAAGTTCGCCATCTTGTTCAAATTGTAACGTGACAGAAAAATCTTCAACATATTTTCCTGATTGATGTGATGCTACTCGTACGGTTTTTATGTTTCTCAAAAACAGTACAATTTCTCCAAGTTCATTGCAAAAGGTGTCTAAGAGAGCCGAAACATCTTCAACACCGATTGGTTCATCTTTAATATCTGATGATTGTGCCATTTTGACAGTTCTCAGAGGGAAACGAAAAACTGTAACTTTGTCGCTATGAAAATATGCTTCGTGGTAGCCTTTCATCATATCATTATGGTGGCATCTTATTGATTCAACATTCTTATATCGTTTCCCGGGTTTTTGTCTGGTTACATTTGGAATATATTTAGCAAGAGGATCAAAGAAACAAATTGTTTCACCGTTTTCTATGTCTCCACCTTTAGTGAAGAATGAAGGAGCGTCAGTTAAATTATAAACTGCATTAAAACCAACGCCATAGCGTCCTGTTTGCGACGGATCATCAGCCTTACTTCCTCTACCCAATTTCTGTATGCCTTTCAAATCTTCGTTTGAAAAAGCACTGTTGTTATAAACACAAAGCGCCGGTCCTTGTAAGGGTATAAACTTTGCATCTGCTATATTCGTTTTAGGGTGCGAGTCATAATCTTTGAGGAAGACTATTTCAGTTGCATTTGCATCGTCTGCATTTTGTAAAAGTTCCTTGAATATACCAATATCAAGAGGGTATCCCTCAACAAGCCTTTTTAAACGCGTTACTAAAGGCTCGTCTTGATAAAAATCTGTAATGTCTTCCGAATGGTTCTCTAAATTCTGAACTGCCTTTGGTTTTATACCAAGATGCCTTGCTAAATTAGCAGTAATTTCATTATGCGCGTAAATCATGGTTTCACTTTTTTCAATATCTTTAAAATCATTAAAGCACATTTCTTTACAGTCTCGCAATATGCCATTTTCATCAGGTGCAAATATTGCTTCCAACTCGTCACTCATAATACTATCTAAGTCCCATCCAACAGCATCAATAAGACATTTGAGAATATTGATAATAGCATTGACCTCTAAAGGTTCTAACTGAGAATTTTTATTTTTAAGTTTAACGTCTTGGACAAAGAGAGCCAAATCAAGTGCTTTAAAGCTATCAGCAACTCCAAGAGTATTGCTTAAGTGTGGACAGAATTGTAGAGGTGAATCTGCAAGATGAAAGAGATACGGCTTACAGTCTCTTATAACATTCTTTGCGACATGTCTAGGGGAAACGAAACATTTTGATACATATTTTGATACATACACTGTTCGAATATCTTTTAACTGTTGTTCTATCTGTATGACATTGGCGGACTTGCATGAATCATCTAAGTGTTTATAAATTCTGCCAATTATATCATCGTTAGTTGCCGACATCTCTGTTGTACTGTTTAATGTCGCCACAGTTTTAAGCTGATTTATAACAACGCTATGTTCCACTTTTTCTACCGGCAGTCCATTCATGCCTATCTCTGAGAGAAATTGTTTTAGTATGTCTCCGTCAGAAACTCGGCTCACGCTCTCCTCAAATACAAGCGCAACGCATCCGACAATGTCTCTACACTCACTGTAAAAAAGATTTGGAGCAGTTGTGAAAAAAGCAAACTGTCTGTTTGCCTTATCGGTTAATGAATGCTTATCACATAGCACCAAGTTTTTACTATGTTCTTCACCTTCTGAATACCATTTAAATGGCCAGTCATCAGGCTTACGTTTAACAGGAACAAATGGTATATCCTGCATTTTAGAATATGTTCCCTTGTGTTTTGAGAAGTTTTCACAAATATATGTCAGGAAGTGATCGGTCCGTACGAATGCACAATGAATGCAAGAGCTGCTCAAATTTTGAATTGACTGGGCTCGGTCACAAACAATGTCATCTGACAGGAACTTACTTAATAAACCCAGATCTTCTAATGGTCCTAAAAGTTTTTTTTTAGAAAAGGTTTCACTTGGAAAACGTCCATCATTCTTACAAAAAAGTTTTGCTAACGCAGAATTAGGATTGATTAAATGACAAGGCTTTTTAAGGACCTGGTGCGGTAAAGATGGTATGCATTCATTTGATTTTAACCAGTTTTCTATTGAAGGATTGTCTTCGGAAATCATTATTGCATATTTCAAAATTGTATTCCTTTTTTCACTTGTTTCTTCAAAGCTTCCCAAGTTTCTGAAGAAAAATTGGAGGAAAAATTGCTCCTCAGTAACGGTTCTTTCCTTGATGAGTGTTTTGTTAGCTTCTAGTAATGACCTGTATATGTCATCAGGTATATCTATAAGAAACTGTTGTAACGACGATAAGACTTCGAATGCTAAAGGACCTATTTCTGACTTCCGGAACTCCATATCAAGAAAAAGGGTTTTTGAGATATCAAACCACTGTCCATTCCTTTCAAACAGGTTGTGTGAATAAGGGATTGTAATTTTGTTGTAGAAGGATTGTTGTAAATATTTCAACATTTGATCTTGTTCATTTCTTGGCCAGAGGTCAAAAAACTTCCATTGCTTAAGATCATATAATGGCTTTATTCCTTCGAGTAAATTCAAAAGAGCATGCGTCACTGGATCTTTAAGAATGTTTTCATTCCAAACTCTTTTTTTTCGACTTCCGTCATCTTCCGCCGACTGATGTAATTGCTGTCTGCATGCAGAAACAGCAAATTGCCCATTGATATGAAATGGAAATTTATGACCAATTGGCAAAGGCAGAAAGAAAAATAAATGTCCCTTGTCATAAAATCCATATGGAAGATTGTTAAAACCACATTTTTCTATGGCTATTTTGTTACATTGCCTGTGATTCAATGTCACTGGCACAGCTATTGCTCCAAGATTGATTGCACCCTTTTCTTCATAACTTTGTTGTACCATCTTTTCTTCAGTTCCTGTTGCCCAGCTTAGAAGCCAGTCACTTTTTGTTTCTTGGCCATCTGCTTTTAAACTGCCACCGCTATTCAAGTCAAAAATGGCATGCGTTTTGACATTTATCTTCACATTTTCTACTGATGAAATCGGATTGTCGGATAATTCTTTTTGCTGTTTCCGTCTTGAAGCTTCTTTCAAAAATGACCCAGTCACATTTGTATCTGACAACAATTTTGAATCTTTGCATGCTTGAAATAGCAGTTTGCTTTCCAAAGGATTCTTCTCGCTTTTCGAAAGGTAAAATAACTTAACAGAAGTGACATTTTGACTAAAAAGCAACATATTAGCTGCTACTGACATGATATTGTTAAACATTCTTTTCACTTTACTTTGTGTGTAAACTGCATCACTTATATCGCTTCCCTTGTTTCGAAGTGGTAACCGAAACAGTGTTCCGTCTATTTTTGGTGCTACATCATTTGTAAGCTTACATCCAAATACGTTCTCAAACGGTTTAAATTGATTTTTCATTTTCTTCATCATCTTAAGATTTTTCGATACTTTAAAATTAATTTTTAGACCAGGACTTTTACCAGATAAGGCTTTTCCAAGATAGCTTGTATGTGGATCAAATATCACAACATTATCTCTTGAAACAAAACTTGGCACATCAGTTAAATTGTAGACAGAGCAAAATCCAAGTCCAAATTTGCCAATTTTTGTTGAGTCGTTTCCTTTTGTTCCTCCACTTAATTTTGTTATGTTTTTTAAGTCCTCGTCAGTGAATTGTGCATCGTTGAACACCCAAACAGCTGGACCCTGACATTCCGCCATGCCATCACTAATAAGCTGTACTTTATAGTCATTATTTTCCCTCTCATCAAGTAAAATATGTAATTTATTGGCCCCGGCATCGTCGGCGTTCTGAAACAATTCTTTAGCAATAGAACCTTCAAGATATCCGTCATCAAGCAAGTTTCTTATACGCCTTGTCAATGGTTCCTCTTGGCCCCAATCTTCAAATGCTTCTGCGTTGGACAGCATTTGTTGTCGCAATGACGGTACACCTAGTGTCTCTGCAGTTAAATTCGGTACATCTGGGTGAACATAAAAGATCTCTTCCTCGTCTCCGATCTCTATATCCTCTAGCCACTGTGCATCACAAAATGTACACTGTTTTGTTGGTTTTAACATTAATGTCTGCTCACATTTAACTGGGAAGTACAGATCTTTCTTGCTTTTGACATATTCATCCTTGAAATCTTCTTGAATTTTATTTAGTATTGCAACAGCTAATTTACGTAGTTTCATCTGGTGTGGGATACTTACTGACTGTGACTCACTTTCTTCTTTTATTCTGTACAAACAATCTAGGTACAAATCGAAATTAAGACGTTCCTGGCAACCTATCCGAACAAAAAAGTTTCGAAGACTGTTTACTTCACTAGGAAGTTTATATAATAATGGTTCTAAATCTATATCTGTTGCCATGTCTTCAATATAAATATGATTTGGATCTTCGAATCCTTTTCCAAACCAAATATATCTTTTGTTTGACGCAAACTGTCTCTCAAAGATGTCCTTGATATCGAGACCTTCATATTCGGCTAACCATTGATACACTTTGGTTATCATAGACAGGCACTCTGATTTCATTTCCAAACGGAAATGGCAAACAATATTATATAAATGTTCAACAACCTTAGAGGCAGATGGCTGTTTCTGCCATCCAAATTTCAGAGATAAATTTTGCAACAACTTGCAATCCAACATGTACATTGTCGAGCCTACTAAATGCATGTACTCTTTAGACTTAATATCTACTGGTGAGCAAAGTGTTGGTGGTTCCACATTTTTCTGTGGTACGCAAGTTGGATAATTACCATCTGCAACTTTTTCTACTAAAATGCAACACTTCTTTGATATGTTACATGTGACAAGTAACTCACTTTTTTCATTCATTACGACGAGAAGTGCCCGACACTGCTTTTCATCAAAATTGGTCGTTCCATGAAGGCTTGAACATATATTTTCTAAATCTTGGCCTGTCACTTGGTCCCTAGACTTAAGACCAAGTTTTTTCAAATTTGCGATATATTGGAAGTCTTGACTAGACTCCAAATCTGGAAAAACCGATTGATCGCTAAACAAATCGATCAATTTCTGATCAGTTGGATCAAACAAAGCAGATGGTTTGTAGAATAAATCATCCGAGGCCTGTATAAACTCTATGTCTCTCATCCTACTGAAAATTTTGTCTTGGCAAAAAAGTGCTTTTTGTTCCATTATCCAATACATCAATATCTTTTTCTCTTCAGCTTGATAATTCTTGATTTGCTCCAATGTCTTTAAAATGACATCAGTTTCAGTTAATGTTTTTATTTGGAGACGTTTTGCAAATGAAACCTCTGTTTCAGACTCTATCTTTATCAATCTTTCTGGAAAACGTACAGGAATCGTTTTGCCAACATACAATTTGTTACATTGATTGAGCGAAACAACTTGCCATTCATCCTTTTTGGTGTAACCACGGAATAGTTTCAGCATTTTGAATACTGCAACACCACTAGTAGTTAAATTTGAAAGTATTCTACTTGAAACGAACTTCAAAAGCGTAGCTGCATTTTCACTTGATTTTGTGTTGAAACTATTAGCATGTAGTTCATCTATTTTTGAGAAAACAGAAATAAGACCTTGGCTGTTGTCCTCTGGCAAATATGTACGTATAAGATTGTAATCTAACCAATCAGGTACATTATCTGTAACAGTAACACCTAGGTAGTTCATACATCTATAGATTTCTTTGCTTCCTTCTAACTGTCTAAGTGATGACATATACAAAATATTCGCTTTCAGAGAAAACAGACACATACGTTTTTGTTCTACAAACTCGTAATCTAGCACAATAGGAAATATTGGGAGTTCACTAAACATATCCAACTTTAAATTGAACCGAGTTTTAAGTACTTCCCAAATAGCTCTTACCCACGATAACCACTTATCCTTGCTTTCAAGCGGTGCTACTATTTCATTTTTACAGTTCGTTGCATATTTCAACATCTTGACCATATCTTCTTCTGTCAACCTTTGAACGCATGCAACGTCTGAAATAAGTTGTATAGTATAAATTATTTTATTTAACTAAATGTACTCAGATATTTATTCAGAAACTCATTTTCCAGCCAATGATTTTCAAAGAAACGAATGCTGTAATTAAGTTCTTTCAATGTCAAATGTTATTATGATTGTTTTGATATAATAAATTTATTCAACTCCTTTTTCTGGCAGTGTAGAACAAGTAATTTCATACTGCAGTCACTAAAACTGGAGAAGACAAGCAGATGCAAAGTTGAGGGGTGGGGTATTAAGATAAACGACCAGACGTAATTCTGCCAAAAGTGTTTTTATTTTAGACATTATTTACTTGTAAGGTTGATCTTTACGCCGACTTCACACATTTATGGACATATAATCTAAATGCCTTTCCTGGATAACTTACCAGTACATTTGTATTTACCTTTTTCACCGCAAGTGACCAACTTCTTATCTCACATGATTTCTGAATCAGCGGTGAGAGGCAAATGAGATTAATTGTGTAGGAGAAAAATCGCCTTGACCGAGGATCGGACTAACGACACCTATATGATATATGCATTGCTCTTTCTTTATTTATCCATAGGGGCAGACGTAATTTACGCAAAAGAAAATGTGACTCGCACTATATAACCGTCACATTAACTATATACAGAAAAATATTAACTTGCATGCTATTTTGATCATGTATTGTCAAATTAAAATTTGCTTTACAATTGTTATAATATTGATAAAATTAGTATGCTTACTTTTGTCAGTAATCAGCTTGTATAATAGTTCTCTTATTTCTGGTCTAACTTTAGCTGACACAAATTCTGCTTCTTTCCCAGGAAAGAGATCAATAATGCCTTGTTCTTCAAAAAATATGGATTTGTTGGTTGAAAATGACTCAAATGAATTATTTGCCAAAGGAAGCAATTTCAAATCATCCAAAGAATTATATTGGAGGTCGAGCATAATGAAATGAAGAATGTCTTGCTTCTTATCAAAAGTAAGGTTCAAGTAGGATTTGTGTTGTGTCAAATGGCATCTTATGTATGCTGGTGTGACAAACTTTAGGTCTGAGAAAACAGACTTCAGTGATTTTGTCATATGTTCAGGAGTTGTAACATACTGAACATTATCTGTAAGTAAGAGATCTAGAATAGTGCTTTCACACCTTGTTGTATCAGGATATGGTTTGAAGTCTACAAATATTGCATCTTTTACTTTGATCCATTTACCGCCACCTGCTTTTGTGTACAATAAAGCCTGATCTTTGCTTAAAAGAATATACTTTTCCGCCATATCTTTCCATTGTAATTCAACTTCTTCCAAGTTTGGAAATGAATTATATACAGCCTGAATAAGAGGTTTTGTATTCTTTTCTTGCTTGCTTACTTCAACTAGCCCGTTAACTAATTCAAAGTAAGCCGGTGGAAACATTTCTGCTGCAAGTCTAAGATTCCATTCAATTTTCTTGTCACCTTGGGCTTGGGCATCGTCGTCTTTGTCTGGCCACCTAACTTGACGCCTATTTTGACTTAAAGCAAAAAATGCATTTAAATGCACTGGAAGTTTGGTTACAGATGAGATGTCTTGAGGAAGTGGCTGGTAACAAAATATATGACCATCATCATTTTTGTAGTCGATGTTCTCATGTATTGGTGCTGCAAGACCAACTAGGTGAAGGTATTTTAAATCGTCGTCTTTCATTAAGGTCTTTGTTCTGTCGGCAACACCTCCACCTTTCAGAACACTTACTATCAACCACCTAGCTTCAGCTGTTTCGCATATGTTACTTTCGTTTATCATTTTTGTCTTTACAGTCACGTCGTATTTCCAACACATGGTTTTATCAGGGACATTAAGTCCATTCTCCTTTAATTGATTCAAACAAGCAGTCCTTTTCCCTATCAAGTCATTTGTTTTATTGTCTATTTCAACAATGTAGAATGTTTTGTGTTTACCAAAGTTCATTCTTTTAATAGCGGTAGGACTCCCTTCTGCAGTATTCTCTTCTTTGTCAAGTTTTCTGCGTTTAGATGGAGAAATGCCTTCTTCAAAAGGCAGGTTCACGTACATTTTTACACTGCACAATCTATTAAGAAACAGCAGACTTCTTCTTGATTCACTGATAAATGCCTGAAATAGTGATAAGACCTCTTTTTCGCCATAAATATCATCTGACAGATTGGAAATTTTCTGTCGAAGTGGAAACAGAAACATGGTTCCTTGAAACTCTCCTGTATTAACTGATTCTTCTGAAAATCCAAATGTGTCTTTCAAAATATTGAAGTAACCTCGGAATTTTGATTTTTTCCATTTTGCAATATTCATCATAGCACAAACATTGTCAGGCTTACTTTCAAGTGGATCAATAAACAACGCCTTTTCACCACTTATTATGCATGGATTATCTACAAAATAGTGATAGTACGCTATTTTTGATGAAACAAAATACATATAAGACACATTTATATTACAAAGGATATATGATAAGGGATATATATTTTTCTTAATTATAAGTTACGAGTATGAACTAGCTGAAATTAAGTAATTTATCGTTATTTTTGGATTAACATTAAGTAGAAAATAAATGAGTTTGACATTGAGATTTTGCATATCGGACAATTTATACATTGACATATATTTAATTTCTTTCTTTTTTGACGAAGATCACTTTTTTTAATTTGAAAAATAATTTATCTCCTTTTTTACAATGATTACGCTTTTAAATATAAAAATTTTCTCTCAACAATGAAATATGTTTTGTATACTACAATAGACAACCAGACTTGCTATAAAAATACAATATATGTGATTATTCTAAACAAGCAAAAACGCCAAAAAAGGAATGAAAGCTTAAGGTTACATTATGAGGCAGGTTGTCTATGAAACTGGCATGTTATCCTAAAGAATTTTAACTTACTAACCAGTCATGTGAAAAACAGACTTGAATCCAAGACCGAATCGACCAATTTTCAATGGATTGTCCTTTTTTACGCTGCTGTAAATAGCTTTAATTCCATCCCAATCTGCGTCTGTAAACTTGGCATCATTGTAGAAAATGAGGGCCGGTGTCTGTGTTATGAGCAAAAAAACGCATGATAGAATTGTAAACATGAAAATGGTTAATATGTTATTCATATTGTAAATATCTGTTGTAATATTGACCTGTTTATTTTTTCATAATATACCTTAAATGACAAAACTGTATTTCTATGAAACTGCAACAGATACGCACTCAAAAATTTATAATAATTTTTACGTCTTCTTTTGCATCAACACTAGTGGTTTATCTATGTAAATCTAACTTATGATATATTATAAATATAATGGGGACGTTTGTTTTGGGTTTGTTTAAGTTAAAATAACAGTATGCTTTATAACATTGTTCAAATTACAGTACAATAACAATGTCAGATTGTTTTAATCATCACGGTTTTTGCACTATTTTTTGTTGGTTTGTTCAGGTTAAAATAACAGTATGTTTTATTAAGTCGGTCAAATTTCACTAATGTGTCAAATTACACTCATGTATGTAAAGTCAAAAGACCACCGGGTCGCGGCCAATTTTTTAATCAGTGATCATAATTTAGGAATTTAATAAATGTGAAAGTAAAATCAATTGCTAGATACCAAATATAGCTAAGCTGTAGACATTTTGTAGACATTCTGTTTCTGGAGAAAAAGATTTTTTAAAGCCTTTCCTATATTTGGAATCAAGTCAACCCGGGGCGGGGCCAATTTTGACCCTAGTGTTATGTTTTAAACGAACATTGTTATGGTCCACACACAAAATATCTGAGCTTCATGCTCTGGAATTTTGGAGAATGAGTATTTTAAATTTTCCTATATGACTATGTGATATGACTATGTGGAATCAAGTCAACCCGGGGCGGGGCCAATTTTGACCCTAGTGTTATGTTTTAAACGAACATGGTTATGGTCCACACACAAAATATCTGAGCTTCATGCACTGGAATTTTGGAGAATGAGTATCTTAAATGATTACCTCTATTAAACAATATAAAACAAGAAGTATATTTAAAAAGATACTCGGTCGCAGTAAGCATAATTAGGTTATTATGGAGTGAGTAGAAATGTTAGCTTAGCGCTTGTTTAATAATAACAGTATTTAACTGACAATTTTTTTTCGAAACTTCTTCAGATTATTTAAAAATAGACATGTATTCGTTTTTAAAAAAAATCCTTAAGATTTCCTTATTTAGTTTAGAAAGGCCAATGAAATTATGTGATTTTAAAAAGACCAATGAGAATCCTACCTATATTCATTTCTTCCCTGTATATTTTACAGGATGTCAAACGGTTCTCAGACAGGCTTTTTCCAATCAAGTGAAACCCGCGGGTCAGGGCTAATGTTGACCAAATACCATGATTTGAACATTTGATTTTTGGTTCACAGAAAAATGTTTTGCACCAAATATCTAAGCTATTTTACATGCGAATCCATGTCCTTTAAACTGCAGAGATTACTCTTGCAAGGCCTTGAAAGTAGTTTGAGCGTGAGGCCTATTGTGGGCGTAGTACGTCGTCATCATGTCCAAAAAGCTTTATGCCTAGTCATTTACCCTTTAATTTGCTAAAACGAATGTGAAAAGCCTCTGACACAAGAGGCAGATCATCTCGCACCATCCGTATTGTCTGACAGCTCTATAATGTTGGATATTCAAATTTTGTATGCTGAGATTAAAATCCCTGAAACCTTGAACAGACGTCTCCAAATTTAAACTGATCAAACCATCACGCTGATTTGCAAGTTTAAGTGTTAAAATCCTAACAGGAACGACAGAAATATTGACAACCCACGACCATCAATGCATTTAAGTAAAAGAAATCATTGCAAGTCAAGCGGCGAGAAATTGGCATCTGACATTCATACTTTGGTCTTGCATGATATCCATGTGTCCCATATTTATGCACAATTAATTCAAAATCCGTTCATGAAGGAAACAGTGAGGGTTGAGACTAAAAGGCGTACAGACAGCTGATTATCAGATTGTCAACTAAAAGAGAATATATGCCATAATCGGGGGCATAATAGAAACAAGAGCTGTCACAGGAGACAGCGAAGCTCGACTAATAAAATACTGGACGCAGTAAGGAGGACAAAACTATGAAAGAAAAATCCATTATGTATAATTATGTATTAAGTTATAGAAAAAAAATAACATTTGTTAACATTTATTCCAAGATTAAGGGGAATAATTCTAGAAATAGTCATGCTAGTGTTATGGACCTTGTCACACAACATTTGTGTAATGATAAGAAATATATATTTGAAGTTTGAAGTAGATACCTTAAAAAGTAAAGAAGTTATTATATTTCTTAAAGAAAATCCTAAGTTCAAAGACAGATAAATCTGTAAATATTGCTTCTAGAGTTATGAACATTGTCACATAAAATGTAATTGATGATAAGGAATAAGTATTTGAAGTTGGAGTTAGATACCTTTAAAAATAAAAAAGTTATAATAAAAAATAACATTTCTCTAGTAAAAAAATCTAAGTTTATGGAGAGATAATTCTTGCAATATTGGTGCTAGAGTTATGAACCTTGTCACATAAGATGTGGATGATGATAACGTAAATATATTTGAAGTATGAAGTTGATCCCTTTAGAAATATATAAGTAACGGTAAAAAATAATATTTTTTATGGAAAATTCTAAGTTCAAAGGGAAATAAATCTAAAAATATTGGTGCTAGAGTTATGAACCTTGTCACATAAGATGGGGATGATGATAACGTAAATATATTTGAAGTATGAGGTTGATCCCTTAAGAAATAAAGAAGAAACAGTAAGAAATAGTATTTTTTGAGGAAAATTCTAAGTTCAAGGGGAGATAAATCTGAAAATATTGATGCTAGAGTTATGAACCTTGTCACATAAGATGGGGATGATGATAAGGTACATATATTTGAAGTATGAGGTTGATCCCTTAAGAAATAAAGAAGTAACAGTAAAAAATAGTATTTTTTAAGGAAAATTCTAAGTTCAAGGGGAGATAAATCTGAAAATAATGGTGCTACAGTTATGAACCTTGTCACATAAGATGTGGTTGATGATAAGGAACATATATTTGAAGTTTGAAGTTGATACCTTAAGAAATGACAAAGTTATAGTGAAAAATATTTTACTGCACCTAAACTTTAATCTAAAATCTGGACGCGGACGCCGACGCCGGGGCGAGTAGGACAGCTCTCCATATACTTCGTATAGTCGAGCTAAAAACAAATTACCTTTTTCAAATAAAGGAGTTCAACTATAGTGAAAATCGGCCCAAATTTTGATTTTGATAAAACTTGGGCATATGACACAAAAATATGTCCGAGGTAGGTTTTTATTGATTTTCGTATCACTCTGTCCACGAGAATTATTTGGTTTTCATTTAAACTGTCAATACAAAGAACGTACAATAAAGTGATACCATAATTATATATACCTTAAAGAACTTTCCATACTTTAGCCCTGCAGTCCTGTCCTCGGCGTTTGTTTTCCCCTCGTAAAGTATACCCATTTCTGTTGCCTCGGCATCATCAGCGTTCTGAACGAGCTCCTGTATTTGCCACATGCTCAGAATTATTTTAAATTTAACTTATTACATTGTACTTATTTGATAGAGTAATTCTAAATATAACTAGAAATGTGTCATCATGCCACAGATGCCCCCGCATGCAGCCAAAATTTCAGATCTTAAAATATTCAGTTCCAAATTTGTTTCCACAATTTATTTTTTTCATTTTAAGTTCAAACCCCTTAAAACTTTTCAATGTTAACACAAACCATTTTCATACAATGTTCAAGGCACTGAAATTATTCAGTCTTAACCTTTTGAAAATAGCATATTGCATATTTGTAGCCAAAATAATGGCTACATACATTCCCACAAAAGTATGAGTGCTGAAACTGAAAGTTCAAATTTTTTCCAACATTCAAGAAAGATAAGTTTGTTCAAAATCATTTTACCGCAAACAAATTCAAACTTAAACTGTTTATTCCTAAGATGTATCTATATTATTTTCAAAGTGAAAGGGACATAACTCTGCCAAAAAATCATCGAACCATGACCAAATTCCAACTTGACCTGCCCATTCCTTTGATATATCCATCTGTCAAATTTGAGTTGAATATGTAACACAATTGGGTAGATAATGAACAGAAACTGTGAATTTCATATAATTTTCAAATTGAAAGGGGCATATAACTCTGCGAAAAATCATCGAACCATGACCAAATTCGAACTTGACCTGTGCATTTCTTTGACGTATCTATATGTCAAGTTTGAGTTGAATGTGTTGTACTGTTGGGGAGATAATGAACGGAAACTGAAATTTTATATTATTTTCAAAGTGAAAGGGGCATAACTCTGCCAAAAATCATCGAACAATAACCAAGTTCGAACTTGACCTGTATTTTCTCATGACATATCTATATGTCAAATTTGAGTTAAATGTGTTGTACCGTTGGGGAGATAATGAATGGAAACTGAAAATTTCATATTATTTTCAAAGTGAAAGGGGCATAACTTTGCGAAAAATCATCGAACAATAACCAAGTTCGAACTTGACCTGTATTTTCTCATGACATATCTATATGTCAAATTTGAGTTAAATGTGTTGTACCGTTGGGGAGATAATGAACGGAAACTGAAAATTTCATATTATTTTCAAAGTGAAAGGGGCATAACTTTGCGAAAAATCATCGAACAATAACCAAGTTCGAACTTGACCTGTATTTTCTCATGACATATCTATACGTCAAATTTGAGTTAAATGTGTTGTACCGTTGATGAGATAATGAACGGAAACTGAAATTTTATATTATTTTCAAAGTAAAAGGGGCATAACTCTGCCAAAAATCATCGAACCATGACCAAATTCGAACTTGACCTGTATTTTCTCATGACATATCCATATGTCAATTTTGAGTTGAATGTGTTGTACCGTTGGGGAGATAATGAACGGAAACTGAAAATTTCATATTATTTTAAAGTAAAAGGGGCATAACTCTGCGAATAATTATCAAACCATAACCAAATTAGAACTTGACCTGTATATTCTCATGACATATCCATATGTCAATTTTGAGTTGAATGTGTTGTACCGTTGTGGAGATAATGAACGTAAACTGAAAATTTCATTTTATTTTAAAGTAAAAGGGGCATAACTCTGCGAAAAATCATCGAACCATAACCAAATTCGAACTTGACCTGCATTTTCACATGACATATCAATATGTCAAATTTGAGTTGAATGTGTGCAACCTTTACTAAGATAATGAACGGAAACTGATGATGACTGACGGAACAGGGTAACACTATATGTCCCGGCCATTACATGGCGGGGGCATAAAAATATAGCCAACATTTTAAAAATGTTACTATGCTAGGAAACAAGCGTGAAACGAAGTCATGTGGAACTGCTAAAAATATCAGTTATATTTGATACTTTTTGTGCATTTCATCATATATGCTTTTGAAAGTACATTTGCATGCTTTTATCAGATTTTATTATTGCAAAATACTACTTAGTCAAAAACTTCTTTATTTCTTGTTTTATTTTACAGGGTTTAATATTTCTTATTCAATTTTGTTTGTGTGATAATTTCGCTTGTCCTACCTTGATAATTTGAACATCATTCCTGTATTCATCAAGAATAGTTTTGATCTGCTGTAGCAAGGTAGGTTGCTTGATCCCCGAATATTCCTCACCCTCCGACTCCGAGCTAGAGTCACCTAAAACATTCAAATTTCACTACATAATTGTCTGTGTTTGGCAAACAAGTTTCCCTAAGAAAATATTTTATGAAATACATACATTCAAACAGATCTTAATCGTTTGTTAACCAAAAGTCCACCCACCTTTTCAAAGTGTAAAGCTATTTGGGGGAGTTCGGAGGCCGGACATGTCACCTGCCATGCTGTTAGAGAATTAGATTTTGAAACATAAAAACAAGCGAGATTTTACGCACGCTTAGATGGCCGTGAAAGAATGGTCAGCTGTGCACTTCCTCATAATTCTACCTAGACGAGTGTCTGTTTAGTGGTTGGAAGTAAAGGGGACACGTTCCGACATGGTAATTACACTACGTCCGTACTAGTAGTACTGGTTTTATACTTTGACAGGACAGATACACTTAAGTCAAGGTCGTATTGTGCCAGGAATCCGACATCTTACACGTCAGTCATTGCTTAAACCAATTATATGACGGTGTGTTAGTTGGATATCGGCCTCGTACATCAATCTTTCTCTTTCATGCTTTAGGAAAGACCTCATTAGGAATTTCATGAAATTCACATGAAATTCTTTCCTGAAAAGAAAGACCTCGTACACGGTTTATATTTTACACATAATGAATAGTTCATTTATTAGGTGAGACAATGCGTTCGCAACCAGATAGTTCAGTCAGTAGAGCCGCGGAGCAGTATAAACTTTCGATGGAGTGTTCTGTCAGTGTGGCTGTAATGCATATAGATCTCCGAGAGCTATATCTGATAAGAATGGACATATGAAGCTCCCGGGAGCTATATTTGCCAACAACATGAATCGGTTTCAAAAGAAATGACTGAAAACCAGATAGATGTATTAACACGCTCCACCAATTTCCGGTTCGTTCGGTATATGTTGCTTGAACAACTATTTTGTAAAACAAAAGTTATAGCGAACTTGCAACTCGAAGCGGAGCAGACTTTTTATGAGGTTTTGTGTTAAGATATGATACGACGCAGTTCTATTTTTTTGGCAGTCTTTTCAACAAGGATAATTTTGATAATATATGTCTTTTTTACGGAATAATCGTTTGTGCTAGATAAAAATGAAGATTATTCGCGGTTTATGGCAATGATCTGTTGCTTTTGATTATTTAGAATACATTGTGTGATGTCCAATATAACATTTAATTTGAATTTTTAAATTGCGGAAGCTACTTTAAACCATGAACATGTTACTTAATTTATCATAATATCTGAAATAATTGTTTATATTTTCTTGTATGTTCAATATTATTCCCTTTCTTGCAAACATATAGAAGTATATGAACTTGAATCACAAACTTCATTTTGGCCAGCTATGCATTTAGTAAAATGTGGTTCTGTATGTTCAGGGTAATAGCTGATTTTTTGTTGTTTTATTTCAAACTTTCACTCTACCATTTAGCTTTACTGAGGGCAAGGACCTCGGGTGCGCTTTTGTGCATTACTTCAGGCATAATGTTGCACCTGCAGAGAACCGTCGACATTTTGAAACTTGCTTGCTAGGTTTTCCACGCGAAAGAATCAAAAGTCCCTGATAGTTTCGAAATTCTTAGCAGTTCAGTGCAAGTGATTTGAAGTCAGTAAACATAAAGAGTTCGGCCTCGGTCGGACACACCTTTCTGTTACAACAAAATTTGTTTTGGTCCTAACTGTCAACTGTACAAATAAGTAGGTTTTTTCTTTAAAAAGTTAAGTTCATTTGAATTAATTATAAAGACAATTACATTTAATTTCTTATTATATTAAAATATTTTATCAATTTCTAAGATCACTTTTTGCCTTGACATTTCGATCGTTTAAAAAAAGTATGTGTTAGTGGTGTGAATAGTAGAGTAATTTTCAATGTAAACGTGAAGTCATTTTTTGAAAATTTTTGTTTTATGTGTCGGGCAATTCATTATCAAATAAAAATCGCACTTAAGTATAAAGGTATGTTAAGATGCCATGTCTCTAGTCTGTAGAAAATGCGATGCGATAATCTGACCTAAATTTTCTCATCCTGGCTTTAATTCAATGAGTGACCTCTGCTTTTGACTTAAGGTATACATTACCTCCACTTTGAAGAGTACTCAAATTAATAGGCTAGAACTACTGTCAACTGCATTGAAACTGAGGGGCGCGGGTTCAAGCCCCATAAGAGGCAACTTTTTTTCTTTCTTTCTTTTTTCTTCGAACATTATTTGTGTCTTTCAGATCACTCTTGATAAGTTAAAAAGGAGTTTTATTTTAATTAAAAAAATATTATTGGTATTTATTGGCTAAATTGTTCCAAATTTATTATCAAACATGGTACCTGATATATCCAAAGTCTAATAAAATAAAAACTAGACGATAAAAGTATTTTATATTTGACAAGCGCAACGAATATACTTTTAAGAAAATTTATGCAAACTTTGAAACAGTCCCTGATTTGAGTAAATTTTAGGGATATCTTGAATAAGGCCCTCCAAGTAGAAAAATGATCAAACAACTACCTATAATGGGTGGGGTAGGGTAACATTTGTATACATATTTCAAACAATTTGAGTAGAAACAATAATTTTGTTGGGTCATTTGTTAGCTGAATGCTATTATTTGTTTTTTAAAAATGTTCTATAGGAAAATATTTTTTTTTATAATGGTTATATAAAAGAATATTTAGAGTTTCTCATTTCTGAAGAAGAGCCCTTCTAATAGCCAAGTTTTACTTAAGAAAAATCTCCATAATTCGTAAACCATACGGTAAACTTTGTTTAAATTTTGCATTCTTGCGTCTTTTAAGGTATATAACTGACTTATGTTGTCAATTTTATAGTTCCTTATAGTGCCCATTAGGGGGCTCATACCTTAAGTTGTAAACATGAAATGTTGTTGGATGTTACTACCATACTTAACGCATAATTTAATAACTGAACTAATATGCAGCCTGCAATGAAAATACAACTGCGTCGTATCATATTCTATTTTCAACTGCGTCGTATCATTTCATACAAATTATTATTTTCCCGGAAAATAAACATTTCTTTTTAATGAAATTTTAATTAATGATGCAAAATAATATTTTGAAGTTTATGGTGAACTCTGAAACGGGTATATAATTGATTTGAAGGAAAAAATGATAGATAAAGCAACATGAACTTCGTCGAATCTACACAATTTCATAAAAAAATCTGCTCCGCTTCGAGTTGCAAGTTCGTTATAACTTTTGTTTTACAAAATAGTCATTTCCAACAAAAAGAGTTATAAGCAAAAACATCCCTTTTTGTTCCAAGATTGCGCGTTTGTTTACGTTTTGTAGGATACGATGCAGTTTGATTCCCAGTCCTGAACCTATATTCGTTGCAATTGTGATAAGAAGCTGACAAATAAATAGAACTGCCACTGTCATGGCGTGAATACCCCCGCATACCACTTTGTCAGAATCAACAGTGACCATTGAGAGCTCAAAGACAACCTCCCTGCAAAATCTGAGGTTACTAAGCCAGTGCATTTGCTAAGTTATGTATTCTACATGCTACAAATGTAAAATGTCAAATCAATACACTGCGGACAGGCATTCTTAAGCATTTGAGCAGACAAGCTTATTAAAGTATAATCCCTGTGACCTTGACATTTGACACAGTCACCTAAAAATCAATAGGAGTCATATACTAGTCATAAACAACCTAAATACCAAATATGAAGACTTTTGACCAAAGCCTTCTTAAGCAATTGAGCGGACAAGCGTTTTTTAGTCAAGGCCCCTGTGACCTTGACCTTTGACCCAGTGACTTCAAAATCAATAGGGATCACCTAATGGTCATGATAAATCTCCATGCCAAATATGAAGATTGTGGGTCAAAGGATTCTTAAGTTATTGGGCGGACAAACTTTTTGAAGTCATGGTCCCTGTGACCTTGACCCTTTGACCTAGTGACCTCAAAATCAATAGGAGTCATCTAGTAATTGTGACTAACCTCTATGCCAAATATGAAGACTGTGGGTTATAGGATTCTTAAGTTATTGAGTTATTGGGCGGACAAGCTTTTTGAAGTCAAGGCCCCTGTGACCTTGACCTTTGACCTGGTGATCTCAAAATCAAGAGGGGTCATCTACTAATCATGACTAACCTCCATGCTAAGTATGAAGACGGTGGGTCAAAAGTTTATTTAAGTAATTGGGTGGACAAGTTTTTTGATGTCAAAGTCCCTGTGACCTTGACCTTTGACCTGGTGACCTCAAAATCAATAGGGGTCATCTACTAACCATGATTAACCTCCATGCCAAAAATGAAGACTGAGGGTTATAGGATTCTTAAGTTATTGGGTGGACAAGCTTTTTGAAGTCAAGGCCCTTCGACCTTGGCCTTTGACCTGGTGACCTCAAAATCAATAGGGTCATCTACTAATCATGACTAACCTCCTGGATTTTAATATGTAATTTTTTTAATCATTTATTATTAACCGAAACAATAGGTTACAGAAATCACGAGTATGTAGAGTCGAGGTGTATGTCTGATGTTATTTTTGTTGTCTTCCTTTTTTGCAAAATGAGCACCCTAAGTACCTTTCCGTGCATTCTTTTCTTGCGCGAGCAGGCAAGTGGATAGGACCGTTGACTTTCAATAACCAAGATATCTTCCTTGCTACAAAATATCAACATCCCTTGCAGGAATTGAAAAAAAAAACGTTAAGGCACGTGATTTGTAGTCAGTCACATTGACCTAACGGTCTTGGACGTTCACAACATAGAACTTAGTTACTGAACAAAATATTACATAAACTTACCCATTTTTACACTTTTACGTTAACATTTTCTTGGCTGCATGTACTTCATTTCATTCAAACATTTTACGTGAAGTCCCCTGCAAAGATATATAAATTCAATTCAATAAATCTAATAACAAAAACGATTAAGGAAATACAAATGTTTTGACAATATTCGTTTAGCTTTACTCGTTGAAAGTTCATCTGATAAAAACCTGCTAAATAAAAAGGCCTGTACTTTTTTTATTACAACTTGTTCAATATCTGCTTTTCGATAATAAGTGTCGTTATTCATTTGTTTGCACTTTATTATGTTATAATAAAGGGATATTGAATGTGTGTATGTACAATACTGAATCTATTGAGAAAAAAACCTCATATCACGGGATCCATAATAAATTTAATAATGAAGCTATATACACTATATAGTAGCTTTGACCCAGTGACTTAATGTTTAAAACGATTTAAATAGAAAATTAACAGTACATAAAAAAATTGTGCCAAAGGAGTCATCTAGTAATTGTGACTAACCTCTATGCCAAATATGAAGACTGTGGGTTATAGGATTCTTAAGTTATTGAGTTATTGGGCGGACAAGCTTTTTGAAGTCAAGGCCCCTGTGACCTTTTGACCTTTGACCTGGTGATCTCAAAATCAAGAGGGGTCATCTACTAATCATGACTAACCTCCATGCTAAGTATGAAGACGGTGGGTCAAAAGTTTATTTAAGTAATTGGGTGGACAAGTTTTTTGATGTCAAAGTCCCTGTGACCTTGACCTTTGACCTGGTGACCTCAAAATCAATAGGGGTCATCTACTAACCATGATTAACCTCCATGCCAAAAATGAAGACTGAGGGTTATAGGATTCTTAAGTTATTGGGTGGACAAGCTTTTTGAAGTCAAGGCCTTCGACCTTGGCCTTTGACCTGGTGACCTCCAAAATCAATAGGGTCATCTACTAATCATGACTAACCTCCTGGATTTTAATATGTAATTTTTTTAATCATTTATTATTAAACGAAAAATAGGTTACAGAAATCACGAGTATGTAGAGTCGAGGTGTATGTCTGATGTTATTTGTTGTTGTCTTCCTTTTTTGGCAAAATGAGCACCCTAAGTACCTTTCCGTGCATTCTTTTCTTGCGCGAGCAGGCAAGTGGATAGGACCGTTGACTTTCAATAACCAAGATATCTTCCTTGCTACAAAATATCAACATCCCTTGCAGGAATTGAAAAAAAAAACGTTAAGGCACGTGATTTGTAGTCAGTCACATTGACCTAACGGTCTTGGACGTTCACAACATAGAAACTTAGTTACTGAACAAAATATTACATAAACTTACCATTTTTACACTTTTACGTTAACATTTTCTTGGCTGCATGTACTTCATTTCATTCAAACATTTTACGTGAAGTCCCCTGCAAAGATATATAAATTCAATTCAATAAATCTAATAACAAAAACGATTAAGGAAATACAAATGTTTTGACAATATTCGTTTAGCTTTACTCGTTGAAAGTTCATCTGATAAAAACCTGCTAAATAAAAAGGCCTGTACTTTTTTTATTACAACTTGTTCAATATCTGCTTTTCGATAATAAGTGTCGTTATTCATTTGTTTGCACTTTATTATGTTATAATAAAGGGATATTGAATGTGTGTATGTACAATACTGAATCTATTGAGAAAAAAACCTCATATCACGGGATCCATAATAAATTTAATAATGAAGCTATATACACTATATAGTAGCTTTAATGTTTAAAACGATTTAAATAGAAAATTAACAGTACATAAAAATTGTGCCAAAATTTATATAGAAAAATATAACAAAATTATTTGCCTTTCTAAAAAAAAAAAAAAAAAAAAAAAAAAAAACACTTTTAAAGCGGCCTTCAGATTATTGCTTTTTTTTTCAAGAATATATTGAAAAATATTTAAAAGTAAAATATTGTGAACGTAAAAAAATGAAGTATTTTACACAGTACAAACGGCACGGTAATCCACATTAATTATTAAAAGAGGTAAGAATATGCAAAAATAGTCCCTACTGCCTTTATCATGCAGTAGAAATATGGTGATAAATATCGTAAAATCAGTCTTTATTCGTATTCAGCATGTAAATTATTACTTACATTTTGAATCTTTTCACTCTTATTAAAATTCTAGTACATTTTTCTGAAGTTTGTTTTTCTTGAAATATTTTGGCTCATCTGGAGGCATGCCGCTTTGATAATGAAAAGATTAAAATATAATAAGAGCCAACGCCGGGCTGGGACAGCGCTCGACTTTTTTACTTTTTCTACAAGTATTAATTTTGAAGATGAGATGAAGATGAGATGTTGAAATAAGATTTTTTTTAAAAAACAGCTTACATTAAGATTTTTGGACATATATGATAAGTATATGTGCTGGGATTGACAAATATACATTTTGTTTGGATTTTAAGGCGTTTGGAGCTCCACATCCCAAGTAAAGTCACACCGTATTACCGACGGCAGTGATGGCAGATCACTGATCTGCAGTGATGGCAGATAGCTGAAATTTACCGCTCGGTACAGGTAGGTTATAAATTTGGTTGGTATTATTATATTACACAAATACGGCCCATTTCATTGCTATGAAACTATTGTCCATTGACTGGAGATACTATTAGGTAATTTTGGACTCGTTTTTCCTGTTTTTAGACTATTTTGAGCAGGTTAAAAGTGACAGCTTCGGAAAAATCCGTGAAAATGTCTCTTTTTGTTCAAAATATCTCAAGTTTTAACTAAATGGCAGGGGTTCGTGTTATTAATATAGACATTCATCCATTGGGGTCACGCAAGCCAAATATCTACCCCGTGAGTCTTTTCTTGAAAGTTTTACAGACGTTCAATCTGGTCCTGTCGAAGAAAAATGCTGCCGTTGTAGGCAGATACTTATTTTAAATGCTGCCGTCGATGGAAGAAATACCATGAAAGTGGCTAACATTCTGACAGAAAATCAAGGTCAATCTTTTATCAATTCCTCTATTCTTTGCGTTCTTTTAGTCGGAATTGAGACGTTAAAATATCTTTCTAATATTTTCTCAAGATAGAAAAGTTATTAATGCGGTATGTGCATCGAAAAAACTTTTTAGCAACACGCAGATACAATACAAAATGTGATGAATCATTTCGACTAAATTGCACTATAAATAGAGCAATTAGCATAAAGAAATTCATTTTTCTATATTCATGCATGTGTGCTTGATCTGTTGTGTCTGTCAGTTACATGCATACAATACCATATGTATCTTAAGTTTAGCAGCGCATAATTCACTGCCTTTTTCAAGACATAACGCCATTTGCATATTACAGCTGTAACTTCAGTAAGTGGATATTCATTTGCTAGCATATGACATTAATTTTCTCGAGGTTCATCGCCTTATGACATATAAAGCCTGAAATTTACTTAGTCGGCGCTAATGCTGCAAACTATAAGTTACTAAATCGAGGTAATATAGGGAAGATAGGACCTTTCCGGTGTTAACAGTTTTATTTAAATTGGCTAACTTGTTATCCAATCGCTACACAGAGATAATACATAGTCACTGGTTGACCTGGTTTGCACAAAAGAACACGTCCATATGTTTGTGATACTGTTTGTGAGCAGTTGACCTAGCAATGAATGGAAAAGGTGTGGCTAAATGTTCCGCTACGAAAAACCGTAAAGGTCCATTAACCTTGCAACTGACAAGATATGTGAACATCATTGTATCATACAACAATGTATGTTAATGTAAAATGGACATTAATATAATATTATCGACAGTTCAAATATTTTCCTACATTATCAAGTTCTTGAAAAACACGACAACGTGGATTCATTTCTTTAAATTTTCATGTTTGAAATTCGCGTTGTAGTTTGCCTTTGAATAACATTTACTATGCTAAAATATTAACAACAGTACTAACAGTAAGGTGGACATACAGCGCGATTTCAAACATGAAAATTTAAAGAAATGAATCCACGTTGTCGTGTTTTTCAAGAACTTGGTAATACAGGAAAATATTTGAACTGTCGATAATATTATCTTAATCTCCATTTTACATTAACATACATTGTTGTATGATACACTGATGTCCACAGATCTTGTCAGTTGCAAGGTTAATAGTCTCCCCTTTATTACCTCGATTTAGTAACTTATAGTCTGCAGCATTAGCGCCGACTAAGTAAATTTCAGATTTTATATGTCATAAAGCGATAAACATTATTACCTCGAGAAAATTAATGTTATATGCTAGCAAATGAATATCCACTTACTGAAGTTACAGCTGTAATATGCAAATGGCGTTATGTCTTGAAAAGGCAGTGAATTATGCGCTGCTAAACTTAAGATACATATGGTATTGTATGCGTGTAACTGACAGACACAACAGATCAAGCACACATGCATGAATATAGAAAACTGAATTTCTTCATCTGTATTGCTCTATTTAAAGTGCAATTTGGTCGTACTGAATCATCACATTTTGTATTGTATCTGCGTGTTGCTAAAAAGCTTTTTCGATGCACATACCGCATTAATTACTTTTCTATCTTGAGAAAATATTAGAAATGATAGTTTAACGTCTCAATTCCGACTAAAAGGGCGCAAAGAACAGAGGAATTGATAAAAGATTGACCTTGATTTTCTGTCAGAATGTTAGCCACTTTCATGGTATTTCTGCCATCGACGGCAGCATTTAAAATAAGTATCTGCCTACAACGGCAACATGTTTTCTTCAACCGGACCAGATTGAACGTCTGTAAAACTTTCAAGAAAGAATCACGGGGTAGATATTTGGCTTGCGTAACCCAAATGGATGAACGTCTATATTAATAACACGAAATTCTGCCATTTAGTTAAAACTTGAGATATTTTGAACAAAAAAAACAGACATTTTCACGGATTTTTCCGAAGCTGTCACTTTTATCCTGTTCAAAATAGCCTAAAAACAGGTAAAACTAGTCCAAAATTACCTAACAGTATCTCCATTCAATGGACAATAGTTTCATAGCAATGAAATGGGCCGTATTTGTGTAAAATAATAATACCAACCAAATGTATAACCTACCTGTACCGAGCGGT